TCACTGCAAACATACCAACTTGCCCCACCTCTCTGTCTCTCTCTCCGGTCTCCTGATTTTCTGCATCAGCAGTATGTTTTATAAAGTCAGCCAAAAGACATGGAAGTCGTCTCTTTTGCGGAGTTATCCACCCGCCATCTGTAATGATCCGCACGTCGGCTTGTTAATGACGAAGCCTATCAATCAACCTAAAGCAATATGTCAATTGTATGTTCACTGTTGCTTTACCTGGTCCTCGCTTGTAAAATATCCATCGTGTCTGTGACTTGTAACGTAATACGAAGTTTTTTATCAAGTGATGTCTTTGTGTGACCCCCCCCCCCCCCCACCTTCGCTTGCCTGATTTTCATTGTAGACATTGCAGAGGGTTTTGTTAGCACATAAACCTCCATTAAACCTTGCAGTTATCCATTAAACCAGACAGCATGATAAAGGTGCACTCCTGCCAACTTTGCACTGGAATATAGGTTATCTGCTTCAATTAATGTTGAGCTCAAGTCCCATTGGTGGGACCTACAAAAGATGCATTTAGTTCAAATAGCATTCTTGCTATTACGAAGTAGACATTGATTCAAGCTGTCACTCTGATCAAGACTGGCCAATAGATACGCATCTTTTCTACGTCCCACCCACAAGATTTCAGCTCAATATTTTGGATTTGCCAACAAAGCTTTTGCATGACATTTTTAATCACACATTTGTGAGTGTGGGTACTTTTGCTCTCAAACCTATTTTTTAAATGCATAATATAGCCTCAAACACAGTAGCACTTTCAGTGCAAGACTTATCCCCCCAAAATGCAGCACAGAGTGCCACAGGAAGTCATTCCTGCCTATGGCCATCAAGCTTTATAACTCCTCCCTCTAAGTGTCTGACACACGGACACTTAGTTAGTTTTTAAACTGGGCCGTATTATCTATTTTTGTGCAATATTATCTGTTTAATAATTAATGAGCAATATTCTCTGCTTCTATCTATTGACTAGTTCTTTTTGGTTCACCATAATAATCTTTAATAATGTAAATATTGTACATACCCACAATCCTTATATTTTTCTTATATTTTATATTTATACTCTTATATTTTTTATACTCTTTATTACTATTTCTCTTCCTTGACAAGTGTGCAATTGTGACAAAGAATTTCCCCTCGGGGATCAATAAAGTATTTTTTGACGCAAAAGTAACTCCATAAATCTCAGGGTCTCAAACCGTCGGGGCATCATTTGGTATAAGATGCAGAAACATGTTTGGTAATACTTTCTATGAAGGTCATTGCTATAATGAGTTACGCATATATTTATAACACGATATAATGCATTCATAAGACATTATAGTTATGATCACTTACAAACATGCATTAGGCGCTATAGAAAAGTTCAAATGTATTATGACCTTTTGATGTAATGTTTTATAACTAATAGTAATACCAGTTTATGTCAACATGCGGCAAGAATCTCCGCTCATGTTCCATAAGACATTATAACCATCGACTCGTTATAAATACACTTTAGTCAACATTTAGAATTAGTGATATAAAATGGAATAATGGCTTATAGTAATGTTTAATGTTATATAGCATGTCTTTGTTTGCTTTAAGTAAAGTGTTAAAATATCTATCCCTGTATAATATATTACAGGTTGGCACAATACCATATGAACTAATTATAAGACCTTATAACACGTCATTGTTTGCTTTCAGTAAAGTGACACACATTTTGCGCAGGAAAACAACTTTTATTTATGTTTCTTCACTTTATGAACGATCTGTATGAATTTTGAACATTTTGCAGTTTAGCAAGAAAACACATCATAATTACATCAAGGACACTCATTGTCAGGGTGGTGAAAGATCGCTCAAGAGAAGACCTGTTGCCAACCAACATCATGTAAGAAGAGGCTCAGATGTTGTCACAGATGAATGGCGAGCCTATGGACAGGCCCTAACAGATGCAGTGGACAACCACTTCAGAAAACGTAGCCTATTAAAAGACATTTTAAAGTAATTGAATGGGAATACTGTTAGCTAGCGCTAACCGCCTTCACTTTTCCAGCAGTTGCGGAAACAACAGACTTAACGGACACATTGTAACCTACACTGCACATGTTCTGCCAGACTGACTTAAGCCTAACTTAAATATTTTCCTTCGCTAACTTTCACCGTTTTAACCTTTGCTAGACGTGAGTGATGCTAATCAGTCCGAATCCATATTGGATTGTTTGAGACTTTGTACGTATGGAATTCACAAGCCCAAAGCTAGGCTTGAGTGCTGCTAAGGGAAGATGATTCTCAGCAACTTCTCCAAGGCAGCTAGCCAAATCTGGAAACTGCATATGAGTCAGAGGAGGCTCATAAAACAGTTCAAGGACACCGCTGAGTTTGTCAATCTCAGCTGCAGGTGGCCAATTTAGACAATTAAAGTAAAGCAATACATTGTGCTAATGCAAAATGAAAGTTTATGTCATTGTAAACTGATGTTGGAGTAGACTAGATGATACTGTCGCTTAGCTCTAAAGCCACAAATTGATATTAGATGGGGTCTGCTTTGTGAACATTTTATTTGTGTGATTATTCTAGTTTTTCTTGCAGGATTTGGCAGCAGCCTTTGTTTGTTTATAGTAAGTGATAAATTACAGTAAGTCTGTAATTTATCTTTGTGTAGTCAGTGTATACCTCACCATTCCCAAACTGTATACACAAGACCATGACATCACTACACACAATCTTCTCCTCAGTGTGAACTACCTAACCTACTAAAATCTGGTGACATGGTACTAATGTAGATTTTTCTTCCGTTTGTTCTAGTTCTTTTTCCAACACATTTGTGCTTGTTTTTTGTCCACATCTCATTTTCCGTGCGTACTAAATCTCCAGTCAAAACTCACGGGCTACATTTCTTTGGGTCTACGTGGAAAGACCTAATTGATGATCTCTACCACACGCACACAGGAGACAGAGCAGATATCATACTTTTGTATGTATAGGAGCCATTACCTCCAGTGATGTCAGAGGAAATGCCAGAGACATGAAGTAAAGAGTTGTTTCATACAGTCCTGCAGATTCCTGGGCAGATGACCACTGTGATAGTGCAGTGTGCTACAGACAGAAGAAAAAGGGCACAAGCAGTGGCTGTTAATTATGGTGGAGACTCGGAACAGTGTGTATAATGTGTGTAAGCTTGTTGCAAAAGGTGTTTTTTAATTATATAGTGGATTATACTGGAAATTAAATATTGAGTGCCTGTTCTCTAGCTTTGTTGTGCTAATCTGGCCTCATTGATGGGCACAGACATGCAGGCAAGGTCTTTGTTAATGCATTAAATATTTGAACTGACTGAGGTTTCCCTCACAAATGATGAATCAGTGATGGAGTAGGAATAACTTGGGACCAGCTGAGACTCCACAGCAATGAGACACAGACAACATAACACACGACTTGAACAAACATCAAAAGCCATCAAGCCAACCATCTGGATTGTTAACTTTCTCAGAACTTGAGTCAACCTTTTATTTGTCACCCAACATACCTACAAACCTAACTAAATGAAAAGCAGAGTTTGTCAGCAATGCCTTTGCTTAGCATACACAAAAATGAAAGGGATTAACTGTTACCTAAACTTAATATGCTGCACACTGTTGCTGTCAAAGCTTTTAAGAAACCACTAATAAATTTGTGAACCCAGTTACTTGGAAGGACATTGTGTTCTTCCTGGTTAACTAAAGCAGAAAGATGAATAGAATGCCTGCAGTGAAGATGAAACATGGAGGAGGAAAGTTTGATTATTCTGTGGGATTCCACTGTCACGGTGAATAGATCGGAAAAGTGCCATTGGTTCATAAGGCTATTTAAAGAAACAGTGATCCAAACAAACAGCTGTAAAAGATTAAATAATAGTATGTTGTTTTGAACATATGTCAGTTGCCATTTTATTAGATACACCTAGCTAAATCGAATGCAGTCTAATACAGTTCTACAATAAACCCTATCTTCATGAACTGTTTTAAAGATTTATTTACCTGTAAGGCCATTTTGGAGGAAGAAGTTTGTGGTGCTGTTGAACTGTATTGCATAATACAGTTCAAGAAAAGGACATTTGTGTATTCATGCATGTGAATGTAGGCCTTCATTGTATTATTGGGCAAGTGAATGGCAGTCTACCTGGATGACCTCATTGTTCGGCCCTCCACAAATGAGGAGAAGCAGAAGCATTGTGTTGGCAAAAAAGCACAGTGAGCAGGCTGAGGTCATAGTGAGATAGGGCTTGTGGAAACACTGATGCTCTTGCAAACATGACTGGCCTTGGAAAATACTCCCGCGGGAACCCCAAAAACAGGACAGTAAAATCACACTGGGCGGTCAGACAGGAGAGCAGACCAACCGAAGTTCAGCCAAAAAAAGACCTGCTCTTTCCTCAGGTTTCCAGTTCAGCGGGGAGGACATGCAGGTGAAATGTGGATTACCCCTAATTTTCCATCCAGCGAATGCATTTCATAATATATGTTAATGTTATCTGGGTGGCATCCTTTTACTTCCTTCCTGTAAATATATGAAAGGCAGATGAGCCAGAACATGAGGACAGGAAGAGGCTAGTTTGTGTCGGTCCTTTAGCGTACCTATTTTCCGCAGCCACTGACTTGTAAAAGTTTTAACATAACTTCCTCCAAAATGACATCATTTCATGGCTCATTAAAATGATGTCATTGAAATCAGTTGGAGAGAAAAGGTTTTGTTTCATTGCGCTCAGTCTCAGGAATCTGGGTTCTGCAAAATACTGTGCCTTACAGAAATCCAGTGAAAATCCTCAACTGATTTTCATCATCTTGTTTACAGACATCTGATTAGAACTGGACCGTATCATAATAGTCCTGAAGATAGGAAATGCTGATGGTTTGGGCTATTTAGTGGTGTAGCTTACTGTACGTCATTACGATTCAGTCTTTTGTTTAATATCAGCAGATGTTTGACATGTATTTCTGTTTGTGTCCTTGTATTTCTTCCAGACGGAGGCAATGAAAGGAGCTCTGAAAGATTTGAATCTGAACATTGTGGAAATGACTGATGAGAATGCCACACTGGATGGAGGAGATGTGCTTTTTACAGGTAAGCTATGTCCCCTCAATCCCTTAAATTTTGTGGAACACCTAAACCTTCCAGTCAAGCAACATCCTAAAGCCATCCGCATAAATAAAAAAATCCAGATTATTTGTCACATACACAACCATACACCGTACATGTAGTGAAATTTGTTAGCCTAGCTCGAGAAACAAATAACAAATAGTAAAAATAAAATAGAAGACTATAGAATAAAATCCAAACCAAATAAAGTAAAATATTTTTACAATAAAAACATATGGAAGATTTAAAAACATTTTTAGCTGCTACGCTTCCTAAAGGGGTACCATTTTTACTCTGGGGTTTCCATAAATTCATTCAAGGTATATCACATTGTTGCATAAAATAGCTGTTACAGAGCTCTATAAGCTCTGAAAGCCATTGAGTAGATCTTTTGCATTGTTTTGCCAGTTGTTAGTTTATACTGGAATTGAATATATGCTGTAGATGAAACTATGACGGTGAGACATGCAGAGAGGTGGCACCATGTTGTCTGTGTCATGTGGCACCATGTTGTCTGTGTCAGTTTGTACTAGGGCTGAACGATTAATTGCATTTGCCAAAATATCGCTGTGTGAAAAAATTTGATTTTCTAATCACAAAGGCTGCGATTACACTCTGGTCACATGACACCCAAGAGTAAAGCAGTCTGCTATGAAGCATCAACTTTGCACATTATGTGTACCTTGACTTGTTGTTGTACAATGGCCTTAAGCAGCCCGGTGCCACGAGGGGCTTTGCCCCCTCAGCTGTACTTTCTAAAATTTACCTGCTGCTGTTTTTCAATTGTAGCCTAAGCCTGTTTTATCTATACAATATTCAAGTCCCCCAGTCTTTGACTTTTCCTAAGAGTATGTTATTTAGCCTAGGCTACCACCCACTTTTGTTGAGAGGTATCTGCCAAATAAAGATTGAAAAAAACAGCATTTATACGCCAGCGGGAAAAAATTGATCTCTATAGAGAAAGCAGTCATTTTCGCGTTATTAATTTCTCACTTTAGATCAACATTCTGTGTTGCTACTGGCAACACCTTTGGTCTAAACAGGCCTGCAGACTCGCTCAGCAAGGAGAGGCTGTTGGTGGGGAAGTTACAGTGATGAAGCAGGATTCCGCTCTCAATCATAGCTAACTAAAAATCAATGTGACTTCAGTGTTATTTCAACCAATATTACTATTGAAACAACATTGAAATGATAGCCTAACTAAAAATCAACGTGACTTCAGTGTTATTTCAACCAATATTAAACCACAGAAAAGAGACTATAATATATTAAAAATATATAAATGACAACAGAGTTTATTTATACTACTCCTGCTCTGCTCTGTCCACCCATCCGGTCTGGAGCATAGCAAGCCATTTTTGTGCTGCCTGGGCAAAGTCAAAGACTTCTGTCCCCATTGGTTCAGTCAGGGCATCTATAACAGAAAACATACAAACAAAATAACTTTCAGTAATGAAAAGGATGTGAAGATGAACAATGTCAGTCAGGCTGAATTGGCGCTATATTATTATATAGATATTATATTCGGCAAAGCCTAACAGTTAACTTACTTGAATTCATTAACGTTACAGCTAACTAACCACGTGCTGTTTATAGTTGATGTTTATAGTTTAACGTAATTTAAATTGTCTAACATTAAATGCAGTCATACATTGAATCTGGAGGCTGAAAGTTGTAGAAGACTGACAGATGTATGAAGTTAGCTGGCTTACTTAATGTTAAATGACAGGGGCATTAGCTAGGATCAGTTACGAGCATGAGAAAAGCATGTATATATTTTGCAAAGCACTTAATCTGAGCAAAAATAAAATACAGTTATTATCATGATTTACAGTCCTGTATAGGAAATTTTCTGGTGATAAAGTTAGCATTTATGCTAGAAAAGTAACTTTTTTCCCCCTATTACTATGGAGCTTGGATATTGTGCTATTTGTCAGTATAAAATGGTATTGAAACACTTGTATATAGTCTATGACTGCATATAATGTGAGACAATGTCAATAAACAATGAATGTCTACAAATGTGGGACAATTAAACATTAGATAAATAAATTTGTGATTACCTGATGTGGACTTGTTTGTGGGGTTCAGGAACGTTGATCCACCAAGCGATGGTCTCCTGGTCAACAATAATTCAATGACTTTTCAATCATATTTCCCAGTCAACTATAAATCAATGGCCTTTCAATATCACGTAATTTCTGGTCAACTATAAATAGATGAATTTTCAACATTGTTGTTGTTATCCAGTCAACTACAAATCAATGCTAAATCAAGTAAGATCGCTGACGTAATCTCTGTGCATGCGTTGGCGTCTGTAGCCACCTGTGGACTTCTCCGACAGGTGTCGAGTCTTAAACTGGACTCTTATCCAGTTTTAATCCACACTTTCTCGTTACATTTTTTATATCCTTTTTATTTAACTTAAGTTTTTAACTTAAATTTTACGTGGGTTAAGGATTTTAGTCATCCGACGTGGATTTTAAGCTAGATGACCGTAAAAACACCATCAACGCTACTGACCACAACAAAGCTCCGGTGACTATGCTAGTCGAGATAACTCTGCCCCATGAGGACTGCTCACTCCTTAAGAAAGCGAACAAAAAGATTGCTGACCTTATGGAAGACATCCGACGACTTTCAGAGGAACTCAAAGAGAAAGATTCCCTGCTGACTGGCTTTATGGATGTGGCTTCAGTACAAGCCAAACAGATTGTTTCTCTTAGCGCAACCGCTAACATCTAGAACACTGTGCTATGGGACACCTCTAGCCTTCCAAGGCTCTCCTCTTGCTCGACTCTGAAGCATCAGTCAACCTAGGCTGAAGTGGTGGTCCGTGGCTGCAAGAGAGGCTCGGACGGAGCTGCCTCTCCTCCGCACATCCACCTCTCAAACCGCTATGCAGCCCTGTCTGACAACACTCCGGTCCATCCAGCGGATGCACCTGCGGCTTCGAGTCTCCCTGATATGGATCCCTTTCGGCAGACAGTGCCTGCCGACACTGTTGCATCTCCTCCACTGGCTACATCTCCCGCACTGGCGGCAAACGGTGATCTCTCAGGTCTGTTACTGCTACTCCAACACAACACTCGGCAGCTCACACACTCCAAAGTCAGTCCGCACGCAGTGTTGAAGCAGATTCTGCTCAGTCCTGCTCTGGAACCACACAACCGGCATCTCCTCATCCCCTTTTCTCCCCAACCACACTAATAATTGGTGACTCCATAACCAGAAACATACGTTTCTTTAACACTACCACTCACTGCTTCCCCGGTGCCACCACGGCTGACATTTCAAAAAACCATCGCTCCCGTCCTCCATCACAAGATTGATAGTCCGTGTGGGAACAAATGACACAGCTCTTCAGCAGTCTGAGCTGACAAAATCAGATTTTTACCGTCTTTTTAACTTTTTAAAGCATTGTGGAAAGTCCATTTTTATCTCTGGTCACATACAGTTGGTCGGGGGGCTGGCCGTTTCAGTAGACTCCTTGGCCTCCACGACTGGCTCCAGTCCGCCTGCAGGGCTCACGGTGTGTGTTATGTTGATAACTTTAATATTTTATGGCAAAGAATGTCTCTTTTTAAGATAGACGGACTTCACCCAAACAAACAGGGCTCAGAAATGTTAGCTGCTCACATACAGCATGTGGTGCGGTCCACACATGACTTACGTGAATGACTAATCATTCATGCAGCACAGCTGGACACACCACCGCTCACTGAACAGATCTCTGCCTCACTGCCACAAAAAACTGTCTCCACCTGCTGGCATGTAAAGCCATCTGCTCCCACCGCTGTTCCAAAGACTTCTATTCCTGTCATCATCACGCATAGACCAGTAAACCGAAATGTGCACATCCCACACAGAAATAATAGTAATCTCTTAAGGATTAGGACAACTGCACCAACTCCAGCACCCAAAACAAACTCATTTAAATGTGAAATCACTTTCAAGTAAGACTTTTATCTTAAATGATTTTATCTTGTCTAGATTTTACGTGAATAATGGTTGCAAATGAATGACTATAGCCAGCTAGCTGAACTGTGTCTGCCTCAATATGATTGTTTTAGTCAACCGAGGGTCAGTGGGCTAGTGAGCGTGTATAGGAAAAATGTTAAATGTCATCAAGTACGCTGTGATGAATTTAACTCCTTTGAAGTTCTCACTCTTAAAGTTGGAGGGCTGCAACCTATCATATTTGTTATAATTGATCTACTCTGGTTTTAAATTATGACAGAATTGTTCTTTGTGGGGATTTTAATATTCATGTTGATGACCCCACCAATGTTAATGCAACTGACTTTTTAAATATGTTTTTACCCTGGGTGTCAGCATTTCCTCTGTGGAATTAGTGGACATGACCATATCTGACCACAGATGTATTGTTTTTAGTTGCGATTGGCCTGTTACTCATGCCGCCTCACCAAGCTCCGTGTGTTCTCGCATCTTTAATGAACAAAATGTTTAAAAGTTTTGCACATTCTTTCAGAGCCAAAGCCAACACCTGTCTGATTCCAACACCAACAATCTGGTCGATCACTTCAATCATATCTGCTTGTCGTCACTAAATATTACTGCTCCTCTAAAGGTTAGGCCTACGTCTAAAGCTAGTAAGCAACCCTGGATAAATGACAGCATTCGCAGCCTAAAAAGGGAATGCAGGAAAGCAGAGCGCAGATGGAAAAAATCCAGTCTCCAAGTCCATTACCTCAGTCTGAAGGATTTATTAATTAACTACAATAACATGGTTAAGGATGCGAGAACACACAATTTTTCTGAACTCATTACTACACATAAACACAATCCCAGGTTTCTGTTTAAGACTGTGGATCAACTGATAAACCCAACCCCTCCTTGTGCCTCAGCTGGAAGTAATCTGTGAATTGTTTTTATCTTATTTTACCAATAAGGTGGTGTCAATCAGAGCCTCTATTACCCCCGCGGCCTCTTACTCAGAGGTTCCTCACCAGCAACAAGAGAGTTTTAACCAGTTTTATCCCATCGACTTGTCTGAGCTTTTAAAAACAGTATCACAAATGAGAGTGTCCTCCAGCCCACTTGATGTAATACCTACAAAATTTTTACTGAAAGTAATGGATTCTGTTTGGCCCCATTTGATCTCTCTTTTCAACAGCTCCATATCTACTGGTTATGTCCCTGATTATTTTAAAATGGCTTGCGTGAACCCACTTTTAAAGAAACCTGGTTTAGATCCCTCCCTCCCACATAATTTTAGACCAATTTCAAAACTGCCTTTATTGCAAAGATTCTAGAAAGAATTGTGTCCAAACAGCTGATCACTGTACTGGAAAATAACAAATTATTTGAAAAGTTACAGTCTGGTTTCAGGAAGTACCACAGCACTGAGACTGCCCTGCTTAAAGTCACCAATGACCTTTTAATGTCTGCTGATGAAGGCATGTGCTCAGTCCTGTACTCCTGGACCTTAGCGCTGCTTTTGACACCATTGATCACAACATCATGTTAGACAGACTGAGGCACTGGGTGGGGATCTCTGGTACTGCCCTAGAATGGTTTTCATCCTACCTGTCAAATAGGAAGTTTTGGTGTCTGTAAACACTATGTCTCTTCGTTCTGTCCAGTCGGTCTTAGGACCCATTTTGTTTTCTTTGTATCTGCTTCCCCTTGGACATATTATCCATAAACATGGTATTTCTTTTCATATTTATGCTGATGACACACAAATATACTTGCCCGTCAGATCCACAGACCCTGGAATGCTGAGTTCACTTACCGACTGCCTTTGTGAAGTTAAAAAATGGATGTCAAATAATTTCCTAAACAAAACAGAAATCCTGGTCATCGGGTCCCAGCAGATGGCAAACAAATACTGCCATCTGCTGGTTCCCTAGTAAATCACATTAAGCCTGTGGCAAAGAACCTTGGTGTCTGGTTTGATAGTAATTTAAATTTCGAGCAGCACACCACAAAGCTTGTTCAATCATGTTTTTATCAACTTAGAAATATAGCAAAAATTCGATCTATGTTAACTTTTAAGGACACCGAGACCATTTTACACGCCTTCATCTCATCACGCCTGGATTATTGCAACAGCCTTTTCACTTGTTTAACCCAAAAATCTACTGATCGACTCCAGACTGTCCAGAACTCAGCTGCCAGGCTTTTAACCAGAACAAAGAAATATGACCACATTACTCCTATTTTAGCTTCATTACACTGGCTCCCAGTATGTTTTAGAATTGACTTTAAAATTTTATTAATCACTTTTAAAGCTCTTCATGGCCTCTCGCCTTGTTATATTTCTGAACTTTTAGTCCCATACGCACCAGCACGTACCTTGAGATCCTCGGGCAGAGGTCTGTTGTCTGTTCCAGAGTCTCGACTGAAACTAAAGGGGACAGAGCGTTTGCTGTCAGGGCCCCGAGGCTCTGGAACAGCCTGCATGAGGAAATCAGGTCGGCTGAGTCAGTGAACTCTTATAAGTTCCATCTTAAAACATACTTTTATAGGAGAGCCTTTCCCAATCTTATCTGACTTTATTTTATCCCTTTTATTCTATTTTACTTATTTTATATTTATCTTAAACGTATATTTTAGTCTTTTCAATGTTTTCTTGCTTTTATCTTGTATTGTTTCTGTATTACTGTTTTTGGGGTATTATTGTCTTTACACTTGTTAAAGCACTTTGTAACTTGTTTTTGAAAAGTGCTCTACAAATAAATTAAATTATTATTATTATAATCGGGACAACTATAAATCGGTATTATTCCAATGTCATGCTCATGTATGGCCGTATTTATTTAGGGTAGAGATTTCAATCTCAACCATTCTGATGATTCAGATGGAAAATCAATATTTATTCAATTATGTCTTGCTATCTGGGGTAGGTTGTTTATTTGTTTGGGGTTTTTTACACGTGTAGTAAGTAAGCTATTGTGGCGGTCGGCGTCTGCATCACACACACAGCCACCAGTCAGCTTAGGAAATATCTGTGAAACGACCTTTCAAACCAAACGCACAAGTCCAACAGTTACAGCCAGGTTACAGCCAGTGCGCTGCAGCATCAGACGCTGCAGGGGTGGGGAACTTACTAAGCTTGTCTATTAATCATGAGAGGCGTCACTTGGTTTCATTTTCGTTGGCCAACTTTTGAATTGAACCTCAAACTGAGTATTTTTTGTTTGCTTACAGGGATATAGAAAGATGGACTCCTAGGAGATTTGAACTGAGATAAGGATGCATTAAATGGTGGTTGAACTGTGGGTTTTGTATTGAGCTTACTGTATAACACACTGTGGTGAACTTAGTTTTTCTTGAGGTCTGTAGGTAGGCCGACCTGATGATATTATATTATTTAATGCCATGCCTTGACTCAAATTATCTTTCTCATATCATTAAAATTTGATACTACTTCTCCACCATTACTCATCATTAATCATACTATAAACTGATTTACTGCTTATCCGTTTTGAATAATACAGGAGCTAAAGAGTTTAAAAATTAATCGCCCTAGTTTGAACTGGCTACAAATGTGGATACATGCTAGCCATGTTGTGCCGTGGGGTTGCTATGACAGTGATATGAAATGCATCATCAGGTTTTATCTCCTGCACTGCATTAGTGACCTAATCTGCAAGTAAAATCCAAAAATACAATTTGGTTTAAGATGTGGGGGTTTGTCTGGATGTTTTCTACAGCTGATGTTCCTTAAGACCCATTATTTAATTAATTGAACTTTTACTTTATGAAGCACTTTCAGAATAATTTTACATTGACCAAAGTGTTGTACAACTTAATTTTGACACCAGAAGCTACCATGGGCATATTAACACAAAGAAAAGCTTTATAGGTTATACACATCATCTTGAACACAATCTACAGCAAAAGAGAACAAATGTTCATTTAGTATAACAACAATAAAAGTATAAAGCATTTTCACCGTCCTTCAATACTTGAGGTAGGTAGGTAGGTTTATTGTCACAATATAACAAGTTATAGAGTGAAATTGTGTTTTGTAACTCACTTCTGCTACATAGCAGACAATATACATTAATACAGAATCAAGGTCAGTAATGATGTTTCTACTTCAGATTTTCACTGTACAGGGCATAAATAAATGCAGAAATTCTCCAACCGTTAAAAAACTATTTTAAAACAGCAACAATAATGTACATATTTCTGGTTGCCTTGGAGGTGTCTGTTGAAATTGTATAACAGGATGCTTTATGTTATGGTCTTCTTTATCTCTCCCCTTATTTTTGCATCTCAAGACATGTAATGCCTTATTTCTTACATAATATACTTAAACTTCATCAGAACTATGTGTGTACTTTTTGAATGGAAGCACAAACAAAAGATATCTGTAAACACATTAGAGAGCAATGAGAGTGTGAGAGAGTGTTGGCCTCTGCAGTCACGGCTCAGAGAGTTTACTAAGTGAGAAGACCATTGTGTGTGTGTTTCGAGATCCTCCACACAAACATCCCTCTGTGCGACCTTGATGACCTGGTGCCTCAGCGCACAGAATTTCTCTCAAAAAATAATCAGTAGCGAAAACATTGTGCACCTTACTGCATGGTCAAATCAAACCAGCAGCAACTCTGGGCTCTTGTCTTGCTTCTGGCATCAGGTAATAAAATTGATGAGGGCAGAAAATCAGGAGCATGGTTGTCATTATTAGATCTTCTGCACATACTGTAATAGTCGTGTGGTGAGTTAAAGTGTGGGTCACTGTCTTCTACACTGCTCAGGCCACTAGGAAAAACTATAGTACACCTAATTGGGTTTCTAGACTCTGGCTTTGTGCTTTCGTTCCTTCCAGCTGAAATCGGTTTCACATGGCAGGGCTAGAAACATTTCCTGTTGGCAGGGCCCCGGCTAACGGCTCATTTTGTAAAGGCTCAGCAGCTACATTAGGAGCCCATCCCTGAGCTCAGTGTGCTGCTGCAGCCTTGCCAGGCATTCAGGGCTCTGTCTGTTTGTGCCCCACCATACTGACCACAGTTGGCCTTTCTCACAGGCATGCATAAAGCACACACTGTGGTGACTGCAGTGTTCATCTGCTGTAGCGCCACAGGCTCGCTGTATTGTTGGTGTTTAAGATGTTTAGACTATATCAATGTATACCTTACAGATACTGTTTTTTAGTAAGTGTAAGTTTGTAGGGTTTAATGTTTTTTAGTTTTGTGATTCAGTGTTTTTATTTGTTTTCTTATGTATTGTGTATGTATCAGTTGATCTGGGTGGCAAGCCGCTGTATACAATTGCCCCAACAAGCATCATAATGTTGAATTGAATTGATATTTGCTTACATAACTGAAGTAGTGTCTTCCTTCAGGTCGAGAGTTCTTTGTGGGCCTTTCCAAACGGACCAATCAGAGAGGAGCAGAGATCCTAGCTGATGCCTTTAAGGTGAGTTTAAATGATGCAGTGGTGTAAAAAGTGGCTGAATCACAATTAATACTTAAATCTGCAGTATAAAACTTTTGTCTCCCCCTTCTGACAGTGAGAGTAATTACACAACACTATTGACGCGCTTATGACATACAGGCTCTGCCATACTGAGTTGCTGTTGTCACTATGGTTGCTCCCCCTTCGGTTCTGGCAAACCAGTCAATGCTGGTTGGCTGGTCACTATCGGTGTGGTCGACACAGACACCGGATTTAAAACCCCCGATATACTGCGTATACAGAAAGATTTACCTGCAGGTGTTGAAAAAAGTTGACATGGCAAACACGCCAGGCAACACTTGCTTACTTACAAACTGGCAAATGTAAGTCCTATATTTACTCTCCTTTTAGCCTTATTTTGGTTTCGACCCAATTATAGGAAATATCTGTCTCTTTAGATGCTAAATGCGCCACTTACTATGTGTTCACCAGTTTTTCGAGGCTTTTTCACTGATTTCATCTGTCTGCTGCAGCTGAAAACGACTGATGAGAGCAGTGAGAGTGAACCAAAATGGTAAAGTTGCGGGCTGAAAAAACAAAACAGTGAGCTAAACAACTGTATAAAAGTACTGATTAGAGCAGCTTAAATGGTGTTTTGTTTTTGTTTCTTTACAGAAAGATATTAAACTTACAGTTAGGTCAATCCCAAAAATGTAAGTAAAATAAGTATGCATGCTAACTTGCTTAATCATTACGAAATTATGGATATATTGAATCTATATGCTGTTTTGGTCTTTTTTTATAAATAAAACCACCACTCTGACTTCTTAAGTCTCTTAAATGGTCCCTAAACACAATCCTGCTGTGGGCGATCAGACATTGCAAACAAGAAAGCAAGAGACAAATATGTTATCAATCATAAAATCTTTAGACCAGGAAGATAACAGCATCATCACTCCATTTATTTTTCTTTTTATTCTGTTCCACGCCCTTTACTCTCTAATTCCATTTCTCCCTCCATCTATCTCTGCCTCACTCCACCCCCTCCTTACTATCCATTATGTCTGTCCTCCATCCATCCACCCCTGCCTTCATTTCTTCCTTCCCTGCATTCACTTTGCTGTGCTGGCTGTGGATGCCCTGACTACCAGTCTGACTGGTACTTTGTTTGTGGACTACATGCTGTACAGTACATAGGAGATGTGGAAAACCTTCGACACATCCCATTTGCTGTAAAGGCAAATTTATGCCAAAAAATACAATGTATCCTGATGTGTTTGTAAGCTAGCTAGTTAGCAAAAAGCTAGGTTTCTCAGATGAGTTCATTTCAGTTTGCTAACACAAGCTGGGTATTGGTTAGAATATTCAAAACGTTGTATTTAGCAAAATGTAGGGAGCAACAAAAATAGTATGGGAAGCTAAAGTATCAATTATAGACTAATTGACATAAAAGTGAGAGTAACCAAAAAGATAAATACTCGTGCACTGTATAATACAAGAACAAAGAATTTCTACTTTGCTATTTAGCACCACTAAAGCGGAGTACTTATTAGCGGAGAGATTATTGATTGATGTATGCAGCTGTAAAGTCCCAATGGCATTGGGGCATTTTTAATTTATGATGCAAACCTCTGCCACCTCTGTACATAGTGATTAAACAAGCATTTGATGACACCGACTAAAGAGGTGATTTGGGAGGGAAAAACATCTCTCATGAATTATTTTATGAACACATTCACCCTGTATTGTTATTAATTAATACAATCAACATGTCTGTAAAGCACTGTTGTGCTTACTGATTGTTGATGTTGACCATTTATGGGGAAAAAAGAAAAGATATATTTCTACCAGTTTTATCCATCGTTGATGTGACATATTTGTAATTTAAACCAGTGAGTTAAACAAGTGTTTGAATCAACAACACACAGCACATCATCATCATCAATCAGTACTTCCATGTTAAAAATTGCATTTGAAGCTCATTCCACACATTACCTTGTAAGTAAGTGCTGTCATCCTTTGAATTAATGAATTACCTGTTGGCTGCTTTATTCTTTTATCCTCCAATTAAGTTTTTTTAAAATATAATTTACATTATTAGAATGAAAACTGTTGTAACTTCTGTCTTTCCCTTTTGAATTGGGCTAATGTAACATAATCACTAAGTTAACCTGTTGGAAACTGCCATCTTTTTCCAGGAAAAACACCTAAAATAACATACCTAAAATGATATCCTGTCATTTTCTCTTTTTATAAAGACAAATGTTGCAGTATGAGAGTCCTACCTGAAGAGAGGCTATGAAGTCTTCATGTTAAGCACAATGAGAACCATAGACAACATTATTTATCAAATTGGGTCAGACTTGATGAATTTAGCGCAAGGGCACACATGTGACAACGGTTTTCAAAATAACGTGTCTATACAGTATGGAAATAAGATTAATTGGATTATATTCACAGAAAGTATAAAACTTATTACATGATGTGTACATTAAAAGTAAATGGACACATATAATTTACTTTACAGGACCCTTTTTATGGAGGACCGATCCTGACACAGGCAGAAATAAATACAGAAATAAATAAATGCTCAATAAATAAATAGCATCCAATTAAATACACAAAAAAATAAAGTAAATAAATAAATGTAGGTAGTAATTAGATTAAACAAGGAGACATAAATGTATATATTTAATTACTGCCTTTACTTATTCACCTTTGTTATAATTACCTTATTTATTTATTCTCCGTTATAATCTTCAACTTTATTTATTAATTACAATTTTTTTTTATGTATTTATTTATGTGTGTTTTAATATTTTTGGCTGTTTTATTCTTCCTTTGTATTTTTTACCTTATTTATTTTCACCCATGGTATTTATTTCTGCCTGTCCTTTTTACATTTCTGTATTTCTTCTCATTATGCAAATGAGGAGGGGCTGTGTCTCAAGGGGTCATCTTCTCTCCTATTGGTGGACCAGTCAGACGGGAGAGCTCTAGGCCTTCTCTGCTTGCACACATCAACGAGCTGCTCTTCACACAGTCAGATGGCTTCCTTCAGTGCGCTGAGGTGTTTAGCAACTCTGTTTGAAGACACTACCAGCCATGTCTTCCTTCTCTTTTCATGTGGACACTCTGACCTACAGACTTTTCAATTAGCGACTTATACGTACACAGATGGATTCACGTCTCAGACCGGAAGCTTCCTGCTTGGAGCAGACCTTTCGTTTGATTTGGACGTCTGTGTAGCTACTACGGGTCGGCTACCAGACCGCGAAAAAGAGTGTTTTCCAAAGCGGCACTTCTTACCATCTTCAGAAAAAGGCGTGAGAAGGCAGGCAAATTGCGCAATAACCAAGATGGCGCCCAGAGATGTTTAAGTAACAAATCAGCTGATTTTTGGACTGGAAACAGCGAAAACGGCAAAAATAAGTCAGCGGTTTTAATTGTATATGTACATTGGCATTGTTGTTACTTTTATCCAGATTATTAGTCTGTAATTTTGGTGATTTGAGTGATGTGAGCTATAGGTCCCAGGGGGAGATTAACTTTGGTTTGAGAGGTTGGGCATGAGGGGTTGGGCATGAGGGTAAATTGTGATTAGAGATAACTGGATGCTTATAACTGCAGCTATGTACAGTGTTCACAGAGCAATTTATGTTGTGATATGGTGTTTGATGTGTGTTTGGTGTGGATAAAAATGGTTGGTTTAGCTTCTAACTGAGCCTCCTAGCTTCACACATTGACTCACGCATTGTCTTTTCATGGGGCTTGTTTTAAAAATATTGGTCGCCAGCCTTATCCTTAAAGTACATAGTAGTGTGCATATGCTCCGTATTTGCATAGCGCCTTTCTAGTCTTTTCGACCACTCAAAGCACTTTTACACTACATCTGCATTCACTTTCATTCACTGAGCCTAAGTGCTCAAACAGAAACTAACAGACACACATTCATACACTGGCAGAACAGCCGCCAGGGGCAATTCGGGTTCAGTATCTTGCCCAAGGACACTTGCATGCAGCCGGGATTGAACGGCCGACCTTCCGATTAACGGCCAACCCACTCTACCTCCTGAGCCACAGCCGCCCGTGTAAGCCTGGTCTTTATCTCTTTTCAACCCTTGTTGATGTTATTGATTTCGTATTCTTCCTTCTGACTAATTTCCATGTTGTGTTGGCCTGTAGCTTCAACAATCACCACATGACACACATCCAAAAAAAATGTTCAGCAAAATATCCCAGGAATCACTGAAACAACAGATTCAGGCAAAATGAGAGGATTTAGGCATGCAGCTTACAAACAGGGTCACAGGGTGGGTCACAAACACAGACTGATTCTATCTTGTTTACTGTTATTGTTATGTGGAGTTTCATACTGCGGACTTATGTGTATTGCTTTTGGATTTCCTCTGAGAGACCATAACAAAAGAGAAAAGCCGGCTGACTCAGAAGTTCAGAGGTGGGTCATGGTGCGAAGAGTTCAACGCATTACGGTAACCAGAATGGCCTTATTGCTGTGCTTCCATCTTCCCATCTGTATCTGATTTGAATTCCTCATTATGGATTCCTCTGTGTTTTGTGTTATCTTTGATAAGACAGACTTAATGATGCGTCTCTGGCAAATGACACTAGGAAAAATTGCTTGAGCGTCCATTATTGGTTTTTCCGTTTTTTATCAGATTGATTCCGCCTATCTCTGTTGTTTTTTCCTTTCATTATCAAATTAAGGACCATTTTATTGCCCGGTTTGTTTAGCACTCAAAAACTGCGTACAGATGTTGAAGCTATTTTCTTTATGGTCCTTGCAGAGGTCAGAGTTGGTAGTTCTATTGATTGAATGGGTTTGTTCGGGAAGAAGTCATATAGAGGCCAAATCACCTCTTTTCTTTTACATCTAAGAGGTGTTGAATCTTAACTTACCAATAAGACACATGTGGGCACCTTGAAATTCAGGCTTCTGTCATATTGTCAATATGGTCTTTTCAGGTCACAACGTGGAAATATATCAGCCTGTTACTGCAGATGAAAAGCAACTCTGTCTTTCCCTAAGGAAAAAGATGAATTGTATTTCTAATTTTACACTGCAACAAAACTTCCTGTTCATGGATAAGGAATGCAGAAATTTCAAATTACATAATTCCCAGTTGTCCTTTTGTATCGTCTAAACTAGTGCCAAGCAAAGAGTTCAGGAAAAACATCAAGGATGGGGTAATTTAAGTTTTTCGCATGATGAACTGCCATGTGCTACTCTGTTATTCAGTCTCAATGACTATTTCAGTGAATCATAGCACTTTAATTGAGCTAATGATGCAGTACAAATACTGACCTGAAAAGTGTTAACATATACTTGAATGGAAAATGTCACAATAGAGTCTAACGATGGAAAAGGTACACAATACTTCATAGGTTTTTATGAAGCCTAGGAGCTATAAAAACCCATTCAAAACATATTGTGTGATTAAGAAAACATGTGGATGTCAGTGGGAAGTTATTTTCATAGTCGCAAACCAAAATTTATATGGTCATATAAATGTATTTGCATAGATTCAGGAAGGAAAATAATGTAATAGTCTCATATCCTATAATAATTCAAATTACAGCTCGGTTTACAAATCTCTGTAGGACTCAACTCTCGATTTTGCAATTCTCAAAAGACTTACAGTATGTCTAACTGTCACAAACTTTGAGTCCATGTATCAAATGCTCAATCAATAAATGTGAAATAGGGAAATTCTTCCTGTCCAGTAAATCAGTACATCAAAATCAAAACAAAGTCAGTGGTAAAATTATGTTGTTTCAGCATGGTATGCTATGTTATAATTTATCAAATATGGACCCCAGGCTTTAATTCTTCCAAGGATTTCAACTTCTAATGAATGGGTCTGTTGAAGGTTAATAAAACACTATAGGCCCCTAAACAGTGCTGTAGAAATGATCCTATGCTGCAGTAATGTGGACCATATAATCAATATGGATGCAATTTCTGGCTGAATGCTGCTTTTATCCTCCATCTGAGAGGTTTAGAGATTTAAAGGCCCTGAAAACATATTTTCGTTACAATGAACGATGGGGTCCTACATAAACATTGAAAGTTCTGCCATAGTTTGAACAGCGTGGGCCATTTCACATGAGATATTTCTATATTTGTGTTTTTGTCTTTTCTGGTTTGAAGAGGGCAGGGCTCAGAAAACACGTATTTCCATGCTACAATCAGAGTTGAGCAAAATTTCAAACAAAATGTGATGCCTGTTGTAGTATTATTTGCTCATGTGTCCAGGCTACTGTCAGTTTAATGTGATCAAACCACACACTCCTGATCAATAAATAATAAAAAGAAAATTCAATCTAAAACTTTGATTGTTACTTATTTAGCCATGAATATTAGTGTTATGGAGAAATTCAAATAAAAAGAACAACAACTTTTTAAGAACTTAAGAATACCCAATCAGCATTTAATAAGAATTATTATCAATGGTGGTTGTTTTTAAATGTTATTTGCATGCACCCCTGCTCGGTAGCTCTCTCACAGTCCAGCAGCTAACTAGCTAGCAAGCTAGCATATTTATTGGCATAGTAAACGTCATTATAATGACCCGAGAGATTCACCTGGCCAATTACTAGTATACTACTATCACGGGGCTGCCACTGTCTCTAAATGCTCTCCCTGGAAAAATATTATCTATGTTTTGGAAAAAATATCTCAGAATGGAGTCAGAAAGGTTTGCATTACTACATTTAAAGGTTGAATTCATGCTGTCTAACTGACGTGAAACAAATGAAAACAAAACCTAAAGCCTACTGATTACCGAGTAAAAGCAAACCACGATTTTAAGGATAAACACTGATCCTGCCTGTAAAGCTGGGTAGGTCTCTATTCATTGTTACAATCATTAACAGTATACAATAACTCTAGGGTTATCTAACATTACATTCAGTAGAAAGTTAGGTGCATTAGTTAACTAATATTACATTAGGAAACAATCCACAGCCTAATGTAAAATTTTTCTGGATTTGTTTTGGGAAGGGAATAAATCGTACATCTCCTTACAAACCTCTCTGGGTAGCGATTGTAATTATTAAAAGTGCCCTAGGAATAGCGTTTGACCATATCTTGAAAAGATACAGCAAAAAAAGCTAGAAAACTATGGCTTTTATTGAGGAGTCAATGGAGTGCAACCATGAAAGTGTCGGACCGCAGTTAGAGTGAAACCTATACTGCACTGGCCGGCTGCGTATTTGGGGTGTGGCTTTGCGAAGGGTCAATTCTAACATTGATGAGTGGTGTGACTCCATGGCTTACGATAGAAAACTGTAAATGTTTGAACTTTTATCCATGTCTAAAAAACTTGTAATGTGTGGCACAAGAGAGTTAAACAGTGGTTTTGCTGGCGATGCGTTTGTAGCAATGCATCTCTGTCTGATCACCCCTTAAAGCAGAGTTTCGACCAAGCAGTTCAGTTAGTTACACATTAGAAAAGTTCTTTTCACGTCTTTTTTCGTTACCCCTCTGTTGAGTCTGGGTCTTAAACACTGCAGTCCATTGGTCAACAGGAGCGTTACTACTTGCAAAACAAAGGACTCTAAACACTCCACAAAATGTTTTTAATTATGAAAATGCTGAGTAGAAAGAACACGAAACGTTCAATGTCCTCCATTGTGTTATTGTGTTCTTTGGTTTGCTGTGTCACGTTTACATGGTTGACATGGCTATTACCTAAACAACCCGCCTACAAAACAGATATGGGTTTCAAGGGCAGTTTAATATCCCCATGAACCCTTGGCTCAGTAACATGATCTCCTAGACACCCAGGCAACTTTTGACACACTTTAACAATACTGCACAAACCACTACAGTGCTCTTTGAACTTTTTATTTAAAAAATATAACACCTCATTTCACTTACACTGCCTGCAGCTGTAGCGCTTTGTGGTGGTTCAAAAGGATCAGGACGCATTGTTACTGATAAAGGAAGACTTGCACTGAGTTATCACACCTGTTTAATCCAATCCTACCTTTATGCAGGCATGTATCCTTTTAGGATTCGGCTACATATAAATCTGTTTCTAATATTTTGTTCATATTTTGTTGTTGAGTAAGCTTTACATTGTACCATTATACAGGTCATTGTAGAGTTTGGGACAATGTTACCAGAACTTATGTAGTGGGTTTTGACATTGAGACAGGTGCCATTAATAAAATATTTTAAAAGTATCACCTGGGCCTTATCTTATCTGCATGAAGCTTCATCATATTGAAATTTTTGCTTGTTGTGTTTGTTTTGCAGGACTATGCTGTGTCGACCGTGCCAGTGTTGGAAGGGCTACACCTGAAAAGCTTCTGCAGTATGGGAGGACCAGGTCTCATTGTCATCGGATCCAGTGAGCCAGCACAGAAAGCCCTCAAAGTATGGAGTTTGTGCATGTGTGTCGTACTGTATGGGCAGTAAAAGCATCATCCCATTGCAATGCTTCTCCCAGCTGTAGTCATGGAAACCACTAAATCAATGTAGTGGCATTGTTTTTATAACTCTGACGCACATTGATGCAGCTGATTCCTTTTAATTCTTTGGTTGACTCTTGGCTCAGTGCTATTGGTATGAACAGCCCTGTCCTTTTTTTCCCTCCCATTCTGAAAAGTATTCAGCAAGAATAACACTACAAGACAGGACATCACACGTGTTGACTCAGAGCAGACTCCCATACTTACAGCTTGATTGCTGCTTCCCGCTGCAAGCACACTGAAACCACCTGTCACCTTAATCTTTCCTCATTAATTCATATTCTCAGCTAATGTGAGGGGATTGCCCCTGGCGCTCACACTCCAGCTACAATTACAAAGGTGTTGTCTTTCCATTAAACCCGCTTGAGCTCATTACTGGATAAAAGGCTTCTGAATCGATCAAGCTCCATGGCAACAATAGCCGTCAAGAAAGAAACCTGGGGGATTCTGAATGACTTAACATGAAGAAGAGGCCGTTTACACGCTGACAGAGACAGATTGGTTGTTTTCACAAAGAGAGTAATACATCTCAGCCCATGCCTCTGATGGAATTATCCTGTAAAAAAATCCCAAACACTTGAGACTGTATGTTAACGTTTTTGACAGAACACATGACATGAAATACAGTGGAATTTGTAATGTCGTGCATATACACAGCATAGACACACATGTTGAACATCTAATTACATAAGAATGAAGCACATACACCCTTGGCCCTGACAGATCCTCACTGGCAGGGCTTTTCACCTAACCTCCTAGTGTGATATCTCCCCCTACTGGCCCAACCCTACACAGGGTTACGATAAGTCAAGCAGAAGTCAGTGTATCTCAGGGGCAATTAAAACCAGACAATCCAACTGCTCATCCTAATGAGGCAAAGTGCTTGAGAGCAGCACAAGGTCAGACTTGGTTTTGTAAGCATGTTTGCAGTGCTGAAGTAAGAATAAATCAAGAATCAATGCATAAACACATACGCTAATTGATATAGCTAATATTCCAGCATTGACTCATTAAGTTTCCTGTCTGTTTGATCACCCCAGTAATTAGCTACTGGAGCGAGGAGTGGCCGTTAGCGAGACTTAATGACAGACCGCTTGCTTTCTAATTACGGCTTACGTCACCCTCTCTTGCAGCAATTAGCTCCTGTTTTAAAGGACTTCTAACAACCCTGGACTTGTAATTAGGTAATGTTCTCTTTGTGGAGGAGTGAGATCTCGTGAATGCTGTTTTAATGAATTCAAAGTGCTTGTTTTGGATGTAGATGCAGCTCTTATGGCAATGAGGCATCTTGCCTGTATACCCTTGGACAAAGACACTTTCTACAAATTAAAGTTGGAGCCCGACTAATTCAGTTTGTCTTTAGGGAGCTAGATTTTGCTGCTATAGGAGATTAGGTCAAGAGACAGGCGGAGCTGGCCTGCAGTATCGGTTTAAAGTAGAATGTCTGTAAATGTATATCTCACTGATATCTGATTAATAAGGCTGTTTTGTAGTTTGGCTTTATCTGATATTTCTTTAACAATAAGTCTCAGTGCTCAGAATGTGTTCATGTGTACGTGTAGTCTCCTGTCTCTGTTTATGTCCCCCAAGGATGAGAATACATGTTGACCGGATGGATTCCGTCATCTATCTGCCGCTCTCACTGCCAAGCTTCACTCGTGAAGTCATATTCCCCAAAATACAACCTCTGTCAGAGCCTGCAGCACCCACTCCCTGTTCTCTCACATACTATTCACTCCCTAAAGTAGACTTGCGGCCAGGCTCTAGCTCACCATCACCCTTTAGTCAGCCCTGTTTGATACATGGGGTCATTACTCTTTACTGAATCTGGGTTTGATCTTCACCTCAAGGATGTTTCCACACTTGAGCTTTATAGATTATGAGGTGACAACACGATGAAGGTTGTATTCAGGATGAGTTGCGTTTGATGACCAAATCCTGATCACAAACATGCTCATATACACCAGCAAGTAACCAAAATATAAACATATTCTACATCTTTGATGTTTGGTAAACAAAATCATGGGTTATGGTCGTATGTTTAGTATTAGGAAAGGAATGGATTTTGAGCATTAGGTTTCCTTGCCTATGGTGTCAAAGCAGCAGCTAATAGCACATTTAAGGTGGCAGATTTAGGTCTCTGAACTTTCAAATTGTTTCTTCCTGAGACAATAATCCGACAAGACTTAAGAGTCGACAGCCTCGCTAACGGCAGTACTTGGGCACAGTTATGCTTTGAGTATAATCCTAACATCAGCATGCTAACATGCTCATAATGACAACGCTAACAGGAGCAGGTTAAATATTTACCATGTTCACTATCTAGACTGTTAGCATGCCAGCATTTGCTAATTAACACTAAACACAAAGTACAGCTAAGGCTGACGGGGATGTCATTTGTTTTGCATGTGTTCAGTCATTAACCAAAGTGTTGGTTAAACTAGAGAAAAAGTTCAAATTCATTGGGAGATATATTAGACAATAAAAACATTTATATTCTATAGTTGTTGAGATATTTCAGTCTAGCCCAAATAGTGGACCAAACTGACGGGCAGACATCCCGACTGCTAGCATTTTGCAGTGTGTGCCATCAGGAAAAGGGCCATATATGGCATTTGAGCACAAGGTTTCCTTGCCAAAGAAGATATCGAGTCAGACAGCAGCAGCAGCTGATACCATATGATATATTACAGTATTGGGTATCTGAATCGTTGCCTTGTTTATTCATAATATAATAAGAAAAACATATGATAAGTCCTGCAATGGACTGGCGACCTGTCCAGGGTGTACCCCGCCTTGCGCCCAATGTCAGCTGGGATTGGCTCCAGCTCCCCCGCAACCCTGTACACAGGATAAGCGGTTGACGATGGATGGATGGATATGAAAAGTCAATTGTTTCAGGGCTCAATTCTGAATTCAGTTCTGTTCGCAGTATTATCAGAGATGTTCTGCATCCCATCTTCCCCTTCCTTCCCTCCTAGTCAAATTCCATTGGATACGTTAGGGTAGAGCAATAAACACTCCACATAGACCAATAATATTTCAAGAGTGAAATACGTGTCAAGGAGCAATAGCAAACACTTATTGGACATCAACAGGAAGCAATTTCAATTCTGTTTCCCCTCTGGAGTTGGAAGCAGTCTCAAGTAGGATTAGTCTTGTACGTGCTGCTGCTGTTCATCAGTGAAAAGAAGTATTGTAAAACTTTTAAAGGCTTCCCGGGAAGGATTACAACAATGAGCATTATAAATATTCATACCAGGAGCCAAAATACAGATTATGCTGATGATCACGGTGGACGGCATCAGGTCCAGTAAATTGTCAGTGTTTTTGTTAACTGGTCAGGATTGTCATCACCCAGGGGGGATTTTATTACCTTCCAGTAAATATTTTGTTTTAGCAGCTCTGACTGAGTGCATTCTGCTGCCCAGTTACCATTCTTTGTATTAACTGGAATTCAGCCACTGTCCAGAAGCAAGCTGCTGCTGATTTGCTGTAGTTTTATTCCTGGTTCAGGGCCAGGATGACTATGTAGAAGCCTTGGATTTTTTCTTTTGCTCACACACACAAATCTGAGGCACATTAATGATGTCAGGCAGATAAACTTATGATAGCAAAATCTTCTGAAAGTCTAATCTAAGAAGTGCTTAAAAACATACAAGAACGACGATAACCTTCACTTATTTGTTTTGTTTCGAAGATAACCTTCCCTTATTTGTTTCATTTCTTGACTCCAAAGATTTAAATAAATTAAAACATTTCCGTTATAATAAATACATGAGCTAGTAGTATGTTCATTGTCAGTGAGTTCAACCGGTCAACTGTTCCATGAGTCAGGTGAATTTTCTAAGGATGTAATCGCGTGATCACGAGCACATTCTGCTGTAGGACATTTTCCATACATTCTGAATAGTTTATCTTCCATGGGTGTTTTAGGTTTAGTAGGTGTTTTAGACACAGAGTGAAGCAGGAACAACTGTGATCTTTGGTCTTAATCCCCCCTGTGTGTGAGACAGTGTTGGTGGTCACGCACATGGACTGGATAGTGTTTTCATTTAGAGCTGCTGTAATCACCTAACACACCCACAAGTGACCTGGGAATGTGTCTGGTGTGGTTACACAGATATAGTCATATGCAAACACACACACATTGCTTGTACTCCACCCTGCAGCTCTGCAGCGTCAGCTCCTATAAAGTTCATTTGATTCAGTTTGCATTGTCAGTCATTTTCATGGCCTGCTAATTTTAAAAGTTAATAAAACAAAAATGAGTAATGGCTATTCCATGTATAATATAGTGGCTCTATGAGTTTGCTACACTGGTGTAATACATGATTACTTTTTTATTCTATGTGCTCAAAGTTGTTGCAAAATTTTCATTTCTTCTCAGAACTTCCCAGAGATCACTGCTTCATTTAACAATGAGTCCAGTCCTGTGACCACTTTTTCCTTGGGTTTTCTATTTAATGATGGGATTTACTGCTCACTAACCACACAATTGTTCTTCTGTGTATTCCAACCAAGCACTGTTGCTGCTGCCAGAAAAATAAAATGTCACTTCCTGTGTGCTGAATAGATTTTCCCAGGAAATCCCTAACAGAGTACTTAAAACAGCATCTTTGCTTTTGGGTTGGATCAGTTGGCAATAGACCTGTTAAAATATAATGGGTTTTTTTGCATGACGTTAACTCATTTTTTCAGGCTGCAAGGACAGCGAGTGGATTCCACTTATTTTGCATTATATTACTTGCATAATTCTCCATATTTGTAAACACCCCGGCCCTCCATATTGCAGCAGATCCAGTCAGTGGGAATTGAAATGAGAACATCAGCCACAAAGCCCATTGTGCTCATAAACCATACATTTGTATTTGTGTGATCACATTCACCCTCAGCCACTCCTTCAAACATATACTGTATGTGCGTCAAGCAGACGTCACACATAAGTTAAGTCCCATTGATGGCATTTGGTGAATTTCATGGGCAGTCTGAGCTACAGAATTTAACAGTTTTTAGACATTTTTTGATTGCTAGTCATTAGGAAACAACCAACTCATCCTGCCCATGATTGAAGATGAAAGATTGTGACCGAAAGAGAGGAAGTAAAAAAAAGAACAGAGACAGTGGTAGGTCTGGTGAAAATCTCACATCTTAAAATACCTTTTCCGAATGTTGAGGAATTTGGATTTTTTTTACTCTCTTTCCACCTCCCCTCCCCTTCTTGTCTCTGAGGTATCCGTCCGCAGATGTTCTGCTCATAAACATTAAGAGGCACCTGCCTCTCCTCTGGTCATAACATCCTCACCCCCCAACTTCCACTTGGCAACATGGGCGTCTTCTTAGCCTCTCTCCCCCCACCGCCTGTCCCACCTTCACCTCCTTCAGATTATAAAACAAATAACATGACATCTGCTGAGAAAGAATGTCTTTCTGCTCCTGCGTTCTCCATTAAGCCCCCCCCCCCCCCCCAGGCCCCGAGGGTGGTTTGGCCAGCAGAAAGATGTGGTTCTGCCTTTGGTACTGTGGCCTTGCTTCTGACTCAAAGTGTCTGAATTATTGTTTTCTGTCTGTCTCTCTGAAAGTCATGTAGACTCCCACAGCCTGTTGTTTGTTTGCCTAAATGTCTGTTTCCTGTTTGTCTCTTATCTGTGTGTATAGATCATGCAGCAAATGAGTGACCATCGCTATGACAAACTGACGGTGCCAGATGATCTCGCTGCCAATTGCATCTACATGAACCTACCTAATAAGGGACATGTGCTTCTGCACTGCACAGCAGAGGAGTTTCCAGAGAGTGCAAAGGTAATGCTCAGCTTATTTCACATTCACACACACTAACTTTTGTCTCACGCATGCAATCACATATGCATTTAAAATCCTTTGGGAGGTCAGGTTGCCCAGACTGGTTTAGCCACTTAAATTTAAAGATTACTTGCCTTTGACGCTCTCCATCTTGTCCAGACCTCTGAGACAAACAATTGGCTGGTGAGGAAAACCCTCCAGAATGTGTGTGGCTGTTTTACACAGACCACTGCAGGTCAACCACAGTCAGCACTGTGTTTTTTCTTAACAAAGGAACATGCAGTTTAATGCGAAGTGGACATGACTCCAACCACAGACTACAAGCCAGAGACATTGGAGTCGTAGGAAAAAACTCTGGAGTGCTGGACATTTGTCAGGTGAACACAGTTACAACTCCAAATGATTGCTAATGTTGTGTACGCAGGATTTGTAAATACACCACAGTGTGTTAACATGACCACCATCTCAACTTTATAAGGCAAATGTATGTCATTGTAGTTTTTACAGCTTGTTGCGGCGCTCTTAAGTAGCCCCCCAAAAATCTATTAATGCAGGTTTAAGTATCTTACATTTTTTCCTCATACAAACTAAACAAATTACCTTATCTTTAAAAAAAAATGAAACAAATTACAAAATTGTACTTATTACTTCTTATTTCTTTTTCTACACTTAAAACTACTTATTTGTATAGAGGGTATGCGCATGATGTCATAGAACGCAGTTATGCTCACTGAGTGTCAGAAAGACGAGCAGTCGTGTTAGCTTGAATCAGCTAAAACACAAACACATCTAAAATGGGAAAGAGCTCATTCTTTGGTAAGCAGTTAGGATCACTGTTGAGTCCGACTGCCTTTAATTTGAGCAAATAATCACTTGTTTTACTTACGGTTTGCTAAACGCAGCCATGGCAACAGATGTTTTGCCACTCAGTCCAGCAAGTTCCGGAAGGGGAATTGACATCAACGCATACCCTCTCAACTGTAAAATACAGGCAAAATACCAAAAATGAAAAAAAGCATGCATCCTTGACAGCACCAATCCAGATAAAAGTAAAATGGCTTGCTGTTAAATAGAAAAATAATCTTTTGTGCTTTTGGTTGCCAAGTTAGCACTATAAGCAGGAACTCAGAAGGGAAACCCCAAAAGGAATCCATAAGGATGAGACTAATTTCAAAGAAATACTGAAGGGTTGCCCTGGGTGCCCACTGAAGAACTACATTTATAGCATGTGTTCTGTGTTAAACTGTTAAAATGCTGGCTCGATGAACCTGGCTGAACGAATTTCAAACAGTGTCTCACAGCATACACTTCTGATCATCATTGCATGAACATGTATAACCATAACCTTTCTTCCATTTCTTTCAGACATACAGTGACCTACTTTCAAACCCCGTCAAGACGTGCCTTTTTACCCACGAGATGATGCATATTGTTTTCCATAGCAGCTCACAGTGAATGACGTGTTACTGTCTCACTTTGGCTGTTCTTGTTGGCCGGTTTGGAAAGGCTAAGCAGTAGCCGTGTTATTTAGATGCTTTGGGGTCACTCCGCATCACAACAAGTCCAAAGGATTCTCACAGGATCGAACTCAGCAACCTACAATGTGCATAGACAGTGCTCAGACCTCAAAATGTACTCTGTGGTTGAAACCCCAACCTCCACCAACTATTTTTAGAAAGAAGAATTCAAATTATGTGTCTTTGGACTTAAATCCACAGCAAAGGCTCAGTTTTTTCCAGGAAGATTAACTGAGGGAATTCAACTTGAGCATAATAAAAATCTATTTGTGTAACTCATACTTCCTGCTTTGGTAGCACCTTTTAATAGACCATTTGGAGCAAAATTTGAGAAATATGTTTGTTCCATGATCCAGTTTCCTTGATAATGTTCAAACCCACCAGAAAGTGGCCTGGAACCCATCTTTGGTCCAAACCTGTGTTTAAGAAATTGTAGGTTAAAAAAAAGTGGAAAAATACAAATGCTAAAGACATAACACAGGCAGGAAGACAGCAGGGAGAGTTGACTATCATGACTTGTTGTACAGTAAGTCCAGATTTGGGACATGTTTCCCAAGGGAACTTGTTGCTTGTTCCTCTAATGAGATGTAGAGATTTGTCTGCACAATCACCGAGACATTCTGCAAGACTTCTACTGCTTTCTAACTCTAAACATTGTCTGTCTTAATCTCCGGTCTATTTTTAGTTTGCTTGTGAAGTTACATAAGAGTTCCACATTAACAAAGGCAGGGGGGGTCATGAGAGAGGATTGGTGGGGTCGGTGGGGTGGTGGAGACAAGACATTTTTAATAGGCAGCAGTGGCGATAGCTCTAGAGGGACTCAGTTTGGAGATAAAGAAACTGAGCAGACAAAAGGCCCAGTGAATAATAGCAGACCCTACTGTGTGGGATCATGCTACCTTCTGACCCAACATATAAATCTCAACCGTAGTAATGAGAACTCGGCTTAAATTCTTAAAAAAGAGAGACACTTGGACACTCTGGAGATGCTATAAACAGCAGGGGATTTACTGATTGTTTTGGGGGGAGCTACACAAAAGCACAACCTTCGCTAAACAGAAGTTTTTTTGGTTGCTGGTCCAAAACCTTAGTTCAGACTGAAATATTTCAACAAGGCATTTGATTCATTACCAGACAGATGTTCGTGTTCCCCAGAGGAGGATTCTGTCTGACTTTGTCCATCTTTTCCTCTGGCGTCACCATGAAATTGACAATTGTTTTTATTTTTGGAGAACTATTGAATGGATTGCCATGGAATTTAGTACACACATCCATGGTGCCCAGAGGATGAATTCTAATGACTCTGACTTTTAATCTAGTGCTACCATGAGGTTAACATTTGTGATCAGAGTGAGATGTCACACCACAACTATTGGATGCATTGCCATTAAATTTGGTACACTCATTCATGCTCCCCTCAGGATCAACTGAAATAACTTTGGTGATCCCTTAACTAATCTAGTGCCATCAAGGCAAAATTAAAACGTATCCAATATTTAAAGAGGTGGTATTATGCTTTTTGTCTTTTTCCCTCTCCTTTATTTAGTTATATACTTTTTTTGTGCATGTAATAGGTTTGCAAAGTGAAAAAGCCCAAGCTCTGAATTGCTACAAAACCGCTCGTTTTGTACTCCAGCTGCTTCCCTGTGACATCACAGGGATGAAAGCTAAATACACCTTATATAACGCTCGCCAAGTGGCTACTCCCTTAAAAACACCGGTGGAAAAACACTGAGCCGCAGCACACACCTCTCCTCTCCCTTCCAAACACCAGCTACCCTCCAGGCAGTCAATGGACATAAAGTTGTTACTGTGATGTAGAGACAGAGCTCAGTTAAAACTTTATGGGTGAAAGATACTTTTGTTACAGATTAATAAGTCACCACTCTGAAACTCTTGCTCCTGTACATGTTGCCAAGCTGGTCGGCAACATGTAACCAACAGCCTGAAGCTGTTTATGGGCTTCTCGCTGACCCGTCCTTCTCTTCTTCTGATTGGCTAGTAGTCCTTAACTAGGAACTGTGCATGTGCAACTCCCAACAAAGATCGTTTAGAGACTAGATGTATCACTCCATAGCTAAAACAAAGTCTTCAACACAGGGTGAAAAATTACACAAAATGTCTTGAGTAGAAAAGAATAGAATAGTTAAAAGGCACATGAGTGTGGTGGCTTTAAACATGGCATTTGGATCACCAGAGGCTTCGTCAGCCATATTGCATCATGAGATAAGAATTTCTTTAGTTGGTCCCTCTGGCTGTGCTGCAAGGCCTTGCTCAGTATCACAGCAGGGTTGAAGTGAGTTTAAGGAGAAAAATATCCTGGTTTGGAAGGCTGGTAGGAAAACACTGGTTTTCTTCTGGAAAATGTCCACAGGGTGACACACTACTTTACGAGGGTCTTTTGAGAATGTTGTAATAGTTCTCACTCCCATCTTTTTTATACTTTCTTTTTTTATACTTTTTATACCTTCCTGAATGCTTGTTCTCCTACTTTTATATCGCAGAACATTACAAGTTGACAATTACAGTAAACAAACTGTGTTGCATAAGTTCTTACTTTCAGTTGAGCTGTGCTTGAGCCTTTTCTAAAGAGCTTGTTTTAGTGCTAGCTGGTCAATACCTCTAACATTGACTCACAGATCTGGTACCCAAGGGTAGAGTCAGGAGGTAGTTGTTGCCATGACAAGATCTATATTGTATTTGATTATTTCTTTAACATAGAAGGGCAGGTTCTGCAATATTTCATAGCATCAAAACACATTTTTCCAATGATACTGTGATGATCTTTTGAATTTCAGCTGACAATTAAAATAACCATTCATAAATTTTAAATAGAATAATCTTAAAAGACAGCCTTGTCTGTGTCCTGCAGGTGTTCGAGAAATTGAAGGACCACATGCTGATCCCCGTGTCCAACATGGAGAAGGTCAAAGTGGATGGAGCCCTCACATGCTGCTCTGTACTCATCAACAAGAAGGCCAACATCTGAACGCACTCACCAGGGGTTCTCTCAGTGCACGGTAACCAAGCAGAGCCTATATCTGATCACCAAGGACTCAGTGGTTTAACAAAACTATCTTTGTACCTGGAGTAAAGATAGGCAAGTTTGTTATTGCTGAGGGACAAAGAAAATATAAATTGGAGGGAGTCATCTGGTCTCCCCTTTCCCAACACACTAAATTAAAAGGTCTTAAAAAGTGTGTGAATAGTTCAGTTGACATAAAACACACAATTAGTTTTAGGTTATTGTCTCTGTAGTAATTAAGCTATTACATTAAATTTAGTCTTATTTTGCTCTTCATTTTATATTACATTTTCTATTATTAGCTGAATACAAGGCAAAAGAACAGGCTTGCGGATTAGATAATGGATCATAAATTCTCCTTTATGTCAAGCAATATGTTTTTATATCAGTATTTGCTGATACAACAACCAGTCTACAAGCCATTCAAATTAAATTCTAATTAATTACATGTCTGATTAGGGAGATCTGATCCCAGATCAGAAGGTGAGTAGACCATGTGCCATGTTTAGACCCCCCTTTGAATCCGCAAAGCCCCTACTGCTCGTGTTTAAACCATCCTTGCTTACTGTTTGATGTTTATAACCCTTTAAAAGAACCACACAGAAAAAAAGCACTGGACAAACAAAACCACATGGATCTGTTTGATGTAGTTTTTGTTGCCATTGAAATGTGTCATAACCAACACTGCATTGCAGGTTTATGAATTTTATAACTAACACAGACGTCTACAGTGAAACATGTATATAGTCGATTTATACTGTTTACATGCACCACTTTAATTTTGTTTGTTTGGTTATATATATATATAATGCAATTGTAATTCATTGTTCAAGTACTTTATTTTGGAGTAAGGTGGAGGGGAAATCCTGCTACTTAATGTCACTGTTGCTATTTAGCAGTTTGTATTTTCACTTATTGCTGTTTCTTTACATAAGTTGTTTCTCATTCTGAAAATACAGTTCTTGAAAAGCGTTCTGGAGATGTAAACCTATGGTATGATCGCACTGTCATGATTGTTTTTTTGATTTATGATTTTGTGATATACTGCCATTGAGACCTGAGGTGCTCTTACTTTTAACTACCACTGCTAACTAATCATTGCTCTTGATCATACAGTACTGGAGATAATTTCTGACTGATCTCAATAATTGCTGTCCGCTAAAAAAGCTTATTTATGCTACAAGGACCATGGCCATCTTGTTTAAGAAATTTTGCTGCCCTCCTGGTAAACATTTGTTTAGATTCATGTTGGAATGCAGATTAATCTGAGGCAACCTTACAGAGCCGCCTGTGTGGAAAATGTACGTATGTTTTCATTATTATAAGATGAGTTAAGCCTTCATTTATTCCAACATAACACCTCTTCTCCTATTAATGTACAATGCCTGTATGGAAAAACAATGACTTTCCTCCCACTGAATGATTCTGAAGGCACTGTCGTTTTCACACACCATCGCTTCTGCCTGCATTGTTGCTTACACTGGTTCTTTTTTTTATCCTGTCTGGCAGCTTTTATTCCAAAACTGACTAAGAGCATGCTGTGAAACTGATGTCTGTTCCACTAAATCCAATAGCACCAAATGTGACTGCAGTGAGATAGTTTGCACTCAGCATGCAGAACAAGCTAACTGCCCCTGTTTGGTGTGTTTCCATGTGTGTTCACAATGGTAGCTACCAGCAGGAGTTTGAAGGATGTTGAGCTCTGTTTTGGTGGCCTTATCTCTGTTGTCGCTGAATGTAAACATGTACACTGTACGTACACTATTCTCTGTACAAGTTAAAGCCCATCACATCTGAAACCATGTTGTTTCTCAATGTGACTGTAAGTGAAGATTGAGGAAATTACATCAGGAGGTGATTCAGCCTCCCTCCATAGACGTTTGTGTATGGGCAAGAGGGCAGTGATGATGAAACATGGAAAGAATTCCTGTTGGGAGGAGAGGCTTGTACACCAGTAAACACTGACTCTCTTAAACCTTCTCTTGACGGTTTCACTCTCAGCACTCACTTTCTCCCACCCTCTGCTATTGCCTCATAGACGATCTGGGCTCATTTATGGCCATGATATCATACAGTCTGGCAAACGATTGTAGATGTGCCTGCCATTAAAGTGTGACACAAGTAGTATATTTTACAGAAGGCAGCTGGCTGGATGCAGGGTGATAGCATAGTTGCAGAGCATCCAGTTCTGATTCTCACACAGTCACTCCAAAAGGCTGAGCCAGACAGGACCAGTCATACACCGTCTGATTAATACAAAGGCAAACACTGGATTTTTGGCAAGTCATGTAATTTCATCTAAAACTATCATCCTCTCTCACATTGCTCCAAGTCACCTCCTGGGCTGTACTGCTCTGGGATGCCATTGCCTTTTCCTATCAGTGATTTAAAAATCAGAATAACATTTAATACATTTTTGGCTCTCAGCTGGCAAGGCTAGATGTGAGGAACAGCTCCTGAAAAAGTGTACTGACTTTGCGGAGGGTTTATTTAACCACTTACTAATCCTCTCACTCATCCCACATCCCAGTAGTCATTGATGTTGTGTTTGCCCTTGTTTAAACTCAGGTCTGTTGGTTTTCATATGTTGTGAGAAATAATTATTTGAGTCATCTATAATTGAGCCTGAGCGTCTTTGTGTAATAAATGAACATCTAGCATTTAACTGTGGTGTGCTTTTTTACATTTAATTTAGCTGTCATTTCATGATTATCCATTTCATTTAAATTCATCTCAACTCTTGACAATATGTTTACAGGTATAACCCTCAAAGACAAGGTTGGTATAGACCATGAGGCATCATCAGGAGATAAAAAAAATACAAATGTGAACCTAGGCCAAAAACCTTTTTCTCTCAGTGAGAACACAAAGACAACCCATCTCTGCCTGATGATCTTTGCTACCACCTAGTGACACCAACAATATAAGACAGACAAAAAATCTTTGTATAGGCATACTACAGTGCAGTGGCTGTTTAGTTGAAGGCAAAAACAGCTACTGCTCACAAAGTTGTTATGGTTTGACTTCACAATAAAACAGCATTTCAAGGTTTATTGCCAAAAATACAAACCCTCAAGTTATGACATAATGAACATAATGAATTTCATGTCATCAGCAACCTCAAGTAGGATTCTGAGGAACTTCCACAAAATACAAAAGAAAAATGTTCACTATTTAAATGAGTTAATAAGTACTTAACAACAATAACAAACAATGGCAAGGCAGTCGGACAGGTCCAAAAAAACAGATACAGGTCATTTAGAATAGTAAGAAAACAAAATTCAAGACCTTATATTCAAATCTTAAATTTAAAAAAAATGTACAAACTCAATCTGAAACATTGTGTTAAGTTAATAGTAATAGCCCCAGTCCCTTTTTGCACCTATTTTTTCAAATTGTCTTTCTTCTATTTTCACTTTTTTTATCCAAGGTACTCTAAGCATAGTACTCTGAAAAGAACTAATTATTGGCATGTGGTACTATACAAAACAGTCTTCTTGGCCACCAAAGCCACTGAGTGGGGTCTTGCAGTCTCTTAAAGTATCTTGTGATCTACTGTTCCCTCTAGTGGACACAGAAAGATACAGCGGTGTAGATAAACTGTCAGCCCTGATGCAGAAGAAACCTTTATATACAATTACAAATATAAAATTAATATATACATTGCCTAAATATCTTCAACACCATTTGAACCAAAAAGCTTGATCCAACACAAATTATGAAAGAGAATGCCATGATCAAAACTAACCCACATTATACTGTGTATGCCTCAGGGTGCATTATTCCTCTTAAAGGCCTTGTTATACAGCCAATTGCTACTCATGCAGTAAACTTTGTAGACATGTAGATCTGTATCAATTTACAGTGAGTTCTTATGTCAATAAGAATGTGCATATTATACAACAAATCTGCACCAGTAGAAACAAAGTACACTTGTTATACCGTACATTTAGCTACTGGGGAAATTGGTATAGAGGTTGCCTGGCCTCCTTGCAGCAGTGACCTTGCAGTTGAATTTGTCTGCAGGCTCAGCCAGAGGAAAGTAGGAATGGTTAAGAAAGTCAGTGCCTAAGCAGAGTGGGGTGAAAACTGAGCCATTAGTGCAGGAAGAGTGACATTTTTGGAGGAGCTCATTTCTTACCTCTGGGCCTTCTTTCTCTCCAACCTGCTTGCAGACATAGTTTCCATTTGGGCAAACAATAACACTGTCTTTGCTCAGAGTCACATAGTCCGGAAAGACTTCAGTCCCAGGACTTCCATCTACATGTTCATTGCTGGAGAAGCCACTTTCTGGCAACAGGAACTCTGTGAATTCCTCTGATGGCTTCCCCAATCCAGAAACCTCTTCTGACATCACCTCCACCACAGATGAAGTGGTTTCCTCAGAGCACTGCTTTGCCATTATCGGAGGATTCTGGAGTGTGACCACAGAGTAATAAATTTTTTACAACTGGGGACACCAATGCACATTTAAAATGCTGTAATTGAGCGTAAACTAGACTTTAGTGACTTGGTTGTATCAATCTTTATATATTGTTATTACTTGTGTTTTATTTATTTTGCATGTATAAGGCTAAATTCTGTTTTTCCACTTGTGGGAAAATGTTTCATCACATTATATTACAATATAATTGTGTGTAATGTAATGGTGCATGTATCGTGAAATTCTGTGGTTAAGTAAGTTACCCATCTCTGCCCGTTGATCTCTTTTAGAAAGCCTTGCAGGACTTTGTCAAGGTTGGGAACCGGCGGCCAAAAATACTGTTTAAGCTTACTGCAACAATATACAAAATAACAGATGTGAAAATAATCTTCAAACAATATGGGGAAATAATTGGTTAAACCTTTGGACACACAGTAAAGTTGTTGAATGTTGAAATTACTTTTAGAATATAAAATGACAAAGAGTATGGAGTATGTTGGAATAAAAAAAATGTTGAAAAAGGTCCTACCTGAGATGAGTGTAAATTAAAGAGAGGAGGATTATAGCAGTTATCAGCAGCAGGACAGGGATACACAGCATGAGTAAAGTGCCTGTAAAGGTTATTTATATTATAGATATATAAAATGGTGCCCAATATTTTTATTTAATTGGAGTAACAAAGAACCGCATTTCATGTTGAGATTTTATGTATCAAGGCATAGCAGCGACTTTACACCACTACAATTATCACTCAACCAATTTTAGATAAAATACATCAATCTGAAGTTCTTACAAAGTAACAGTAGACTAAGACTGCTGCATTGCATTTTTACACTTTTTATTACTATTTAATTTTTATACAAACAAATGCGGATTACAAAAAAGAAGTGTTTTACACTGAATTCAGTTTCAGTGTGAGCTTACCTATGTTTGTGGGGGGGTCACCAGTAAGCACATCTGACCAGTCACTCCAGTCGCCTGAGTAAATGGATCCATTAGGTTTAGCTCGTAATTTAACACTGTACCGGCCACCTATTGGAACCTCTAGACAAGGTCTATTTGGGGATACCCTCTGAGGACAGAAAGGTTGATTTGACATTCACTGTACATTAAATAGAAATGATTATATACTTCTTTTGCATTCCCTTGAAATATACTCATGTTCCTTCATCCTTGCTAAACTGTGTTTTAATGCAGTTGTTTTTGTTGTCACTTGTCAATGTATGTCAAATTGAAGTTTCCTTTCATCTGTGTGGTAATATCAAGAATGACCGTGAACCACCCACACCCATTATTTATTTGTAAACAAAAACCTATGCCATCAATTCATTTTAAAGATACTAAATTCACATATAATTCTACACAGTTCTTAAGAATAGTAATGCAAACAATGTTGCAAGGAAATCTGAAAGGTGTGGGGGAACACAGTATTTCAGAAACAAATAATCCTAAAAAATGGCCCAAGACTATCTTTGTATCTCAACCATTAAAAACAACCAAACATAAACTGATACTGTCATCTTACCATCCTTGCTTCACCCCCTCTGATCTGGTAGTCAACTTCATACTGCAGGTGATCTGACAGAGACTGAAGAGGAACGTCCCATTTCAAGCACAACTTATCTTTCTCCAGTGCTCCTCTCAGATGACTTGGTGGGGATGTTTTGACTTGAAAAAAGAAATGCACACATACTTTGTCAATACACAAACCACATGGAGACCTGATGGAAAAAATTAAGAGGTCAAGAGAGGTGGAAATTAGGATTCTTACGAAATGTAAATGTTCTGTACTTGTATATCACCTTTCTAGTCTTTTTGACCACTCACTCACACTTTTACACTACATCTGCATTCACAATTCACACACTGAGCCTAAGTGCTCAAACAGAAACTAACATTCACACAGCCACCAGAGGCAATTCGGGGTTCAGTATCTTGCCCAAGGATACTTCGACATGCAGCCAGGGATTGAACCTACGGCGTTCCGATTAACACGGGTTGCCTGTTAATCGGAAGGCTGGGGCTCTATCTCCTGAGCCACAGCCGTTCCTAAACTACTACTACTACATTAACTGCAAGTAATGTAGGTAAGCTGCGGAGCTTAGATAGATAGTATAGTATGTATATAGAACTGCCTAATTATACAAAGTTCTCTGGACATCCTCCTCTGTATCTTCTAACTGTATCTAACTGAATTTTAAGTAGTTTGGAGGACTATTTTTAGTCTCCTTTATTTCAAATGTCATCACATCACATGAAGACTCTTCAGCTAATACAACAAATAAAAAGGTAAAAAAATGTACATCCAAAAGGAACAAAGACAAAATCTCTCACTGCTGTTGTTGAGTGTGAACTTTTGAATATAGAAGGTTCTGCTGAGTGGAGATGGAGTGCCGCTGAGCTTGATCCTGACTTTTCTGGACTCATCTCCACGGAAACGGCACAGCTCAGTCAATTTCCTGTCAGCATGACACTCAGTCCAGTCTGTCCAGCCCAAAGCTTCACTGTAAAGGTTGTAATATCATCATGTCAAATCACAGCCAAAGTGAACGTCAGTTGTGTGTTTAGGGGATCAATCCAAAGAGCCTCAACACATTTTGTTTACTGTTTTGGTCAGCGTTCAATGTGAAATGAAGAAATCATGAGTGGAAAAATAGTTGGCATAACATAATAGTCTGCAACATTATGCCTTTGTTGCTCAAAGTAATGCCATGGTTTTAGTGTTTACAGTGGAGCATGTAATCAAAATTCAATTCAATTTTATTTATACAGCGCCAATTTACAACAACAGTTATCTAGCTTTTCCAATAAAGCAGGTCTAAACCGTACTCTTTGTGAGTACAATTTGGTATTACACTAAAGCTCAATATAACTATGCTGTTACATTATCATAGAGAGATCTGAAGACTTGATGAATCAATGATGAAATGAAGTAATGTAAGAAGGTAGCAAGTACTGCACCTGAGACTCATCTGGTAGAAAAGTTTGTACTCTTTCTTTTCACCATATCTGCTCGTATTCCACTGACATGTGATATTTTGCATGTCAGAAGTGTAGCACACGAGTGAAACATCACCTGAAAAAGGGAAACATTTTGTATTGTTGGTATTGCAACTCTGACAGAAGAGGTCGCAGTTGTGCTATGTATAACAATTTATTTCCCCTCAACTCTTACTTAGTCATCTACTCAGACATTCCCACTCTTCTCATTTAGACATACCTGCCATTTGGGGAACCATGGCTCGTACAGGGTGTGACCAGCTGCTCCAGTGTCCTGCATTTGTATTAGGGGCACATTTGACAGTGACCTGGACCTCAACCTCTTCCCCTGGTACCAGAGAGACTAGTACGTCACCCTCCTTTGCCTAGAGAAATCACAAACATCATAGATTTTACAATTTTACTCAATTTCACCAGCTCGAATTACCAACACAGGCCTACAGGTGACTGAAGGTCATGAAAAATACTCAATGAGAAAGAACCACAAAATATATAGGCTACAATGTTTAGTGTAATAAACATGTTTGTTCAAGGAGAAGGAGATAAACAAATCAATTATGTGTTTAATTAATTAATTAATCATAAATGAATGATAACTTGGCCCCAAAACAGGCAGTAAAAGATAAGTAAAAGATGAGTCATAGAAATTACTAATTACATCAATTAATACCGTTAAATAATTCAAATGAAATCTAAAAACTATAATAAATTATATTATTCTACTCTATAAATTCTATTTACTTTTACAATATTATTTACTGATGTATTTAGTTATACTTTTGACTGGTCTGATAACCCTTTACTAGATTTTGTCAGTTTCAGGACGGCATAATTAACATTATTAGATGTTCTAGAGGCTCAAAATGACAGACTGACAAGAGCCCATCATACTAACCTGCATGCTGGGCATACCAGTACTTAGTGATTATAAAATTGTCTTTATAATCACACACACATTATGTGAGTTTGATTTAAAAGTCATTTACACAAGAGTTGTATGTGTACCTCATCTTTTGTCTTCTCTCCCAGCCCCTTGGAGGAGTAACGAATCCTATACATCACATTGCCTTTCATGTATTTTGAGACATCTGTGTGCCATGAGACCTGCAGTTGCCCTACTTGGCCATTTTGTTGTAAAGACACATTGAATGGCGGATCCAGGAGAGCTGGAGACAAAAAGGTGATGGAAAAATAAGGAAAAACGCATTATAGAATCCATTGGTGAAAATAATTTACTGGTGTTTAGGTAACAGGTGAGGAGGCCCCTCGTCTTTCTGAATGCCTTATTGACAGGAGATCCAAGCAAAGAACCAGGACACACTATCCATCCTCCATGCTACCTATCAGCTAGCCCTGCTTGTTTTGTTGGCTGCTTTCCATATAGCTAACATCCCTCCAGCATTGCATATCTTCCTTCGCTCTTTGGTCCTCCAAACCAGGATGCAAGAGAGAGATGGAGAATCATATTTACCAAATGGAAAATTGTCATTGGCGCCGTTCGCAGTGTCTGTTTGTGCACTACAGGGAGCGGTCCAAGGGACTTCCCCTGTTGGCGCAGCGCCTGTCTCACTGGCTGTGCGATGCCATTTCCCAGGCTCACGTGTTTGCATCTGCACGGCGGCCTCCTGGTTGTCCCCATGCGCTTTCGTCCGTTTCTACCTGCGGGATGTACTGAGTGTTTTGGCTGAATGATTCTCCTTGTGAGTGTGCGGTGCGCCCTCTTCCACGGGACGGTGTGGGGGGGCGGCCGCTGCTTACGTGGCCCTGCCTTGTGCGCAGCTGATGTGGTTGCTGTCGTGACCCCGCCTGCGTCTGTACAGCTGCGCCCGCCCAAAGTTTATCTACTTACGCATGGGTTGGCGCCATCGGTGCTCGCGCACACGCCGCCACCAATTCCGCGGTCAGCGGGTGACAGGGTGGCTCATGGCTCTGGGCAGGTGAGTTGTGCTTGGTGGTACCATATGGGCCAGTGAGGCGTTGACACATCCTGCTTCGCCTCTAACGCAATAGCGACAGCCTTAGAGGGCGAAGCCTATACGAAATAGAACGGAACCCGGATTCTGTGAGTATAGGCGCAGCCCTCTAAGTTAAAGGCCTCACTGGACCTTGGTTCCCAGTGCTGAAGAAAATGCATTTGGGAGCCGAAGGCTGGGTCTCACCGTAATAATAATAATCCTTATTTGTAGAGCACTTTTCAAAAACAAGTTACAAAGTGCTTTAACAAGTGTAAAGAATAATACAAAAAAAAGATAAGAGCATGAAAATTTAATATAAAATTAGTAAAATACAATAAAATAAAAGGGATAAAATAAAGTCAAATAAGATTGGGAAAAGCTCTCCTATAAAAGTATGTTTTAAGAAGGGACTTAAAAGAGTTCACTGACTCAGCCGACCTGATTTCCTCGGGCAGGCTGTTCCAGAGCCTCGGGGCCCTGACAGCAAACGCTCTGTCCCCTTTAGTTTAGTATAGTAGTATAGCTTATATACACAAGGTGCGGACGTAGGAGAGGCCCACGCTGTGGGTGGGCGTAGACTAAAATTCTCAGTACCGCCCAGGCGCGCGGAAGGGGTAAACCCAATAGCGATAGCCTTAAGCTGATGATACATGGGGAACTTTTTGAACAATCTTGCTAGTGGCAAGTCCGACAATGTTTTGAACGGATAGCGGCAGGGCGGGTGGCGGAGTGGTGGAGTAGTCGGGGAAGGGGATCCGGTAATCTACTCATTACCATTGACGGCAACGTTGCCCTGTATGATTGCTCTAAAAGTTGCTCCGTGTATCCTCAGCTTTAGAGGGCTGCGCCTATACTCATAGAATCCGGGTGACAGTACGTAACCCCTGATCTTTTACAGTGACTGAATAGAGTTAACCTACAAGCAATAAAAATCTGTTTATCACAGATTTATAAAAACAGACATGAGCCAATGAGCAATTAAAACCCCTAAACATGATTGAATGGTTTGTGAAAGGCTACGGGTACAATAAATCTGAGCTGGGCATATTATATTTAGACCAATTTATTTTTCTGAATGATGCACTTCAGGAGGATAGATCTTGTACTGTAAAGTAAGACTTTCTCTCCACGGAAGTCTCCTTTCTAATGATACATGATAAAAAACAAAGGGTGTGAAGACCAGGACCCCTAAAACCATTAATAGATATCGTGTACAGTATAGTCAGCATCTGAAAAGATGAGAATCTAGTCTTTTTAAACATAATTGCAAATAGGAATCATAAATCACAGCAAAACCACCACCAGAAAAGGTGGAAATTTAGGCCATCTGTCATTTCTTTGAGCTTTTTCTCAGAGATGGGATGGGAAACTAAAGAATACTGGCTAAGAGATATCCACAAAAATTATATTTTTATGACCGAAGGACCACTTACTTGCTTGGAATGTTTATGCATATAGTTTCAAGTGTGTTTTCTTTTTTTTCCAAATGATTCACCTATTCCCCATCCTTTTTTTGTATGTTGAGGAAATACATATTTCTTACTGTGGTCCTCCACAGCGACAGTCCGGTTGTACAGGATGGTGCTGGTGTTGTGTACCTCCACGTCAAGGTGTATCCAAATATACAACAAAACATCCTCGGCAGGAAATGAGCAGATGTAGAGGAAAGTTCCCTCTTCTGTTGCCTGAACAGACATGTCACACCTTTTCTTTCCAGATTGGCTTGATAAGAAAAAGACATAACAGATATTGTATACATATTAATCATTCAATCATCTTTCACACAGGGGAGTGCAGTGCTTTAGGGGTGACTAATAAGACTATTACAGGTTAAAAATATGTTCACGATTCAAATGTAAACAAATAATTATAAAAAGTTTAAACCTTTATTATTATTTAAAGCTTTAAAGTGAAACATAATTAACATAAAACAATACAAGTGTTTGGTTGATGTGAGTTGTTTTATGAAGTTTCCTCTAGAACTGTTCTTGTGGAATATAGGAAAGAGAAGCCAGAAGCCAAGATAAAGAGTAGCATTTTAAAAAGAAAATTCCTTAAATGATTCAGAATTCAGATTCCCCCCACAGTACTGTTTAAATGATTTGAGATGTCCCTTAATATAACAAACTATAAAATCACTGTGTCTAACATACCTGTCGAAGACATAGAGAAAATCATAAGTTCTGTTGTCTGCAGTCTCAAAGAAGCAAGTGAAATCCTCTTGTGTCCGCGTGAAACATTTAGGATCCTGCTCATCCTTTAAGAGTAAAACATCTGCTACAGAAGTGACAAACATAATACATGAGCACTCCTGAACTAAAACATGTCTCTCAAAATCAAACAAGATGGTATTTTCAACATGCAAAACGTGCAAAGGAGATGTTAACTTGTGGTGAGACGTTAGTGTCGTACAGTAATACCTTTCGGTTGTGAAATGTGTGTCACCTTCTAGGAACAAGACCCATTCATTGTTCCCACAAGTTAATAGTTTTCAGATTATAGTATTTACTTTCGGCAACATTGTTTCCCCCCCCCCCCACAAGCTAAGTTAGTGGTTGTTGCACAATAAAAACTACCTACAACAAAGTGTCTTGTTTTCACAAGTCTTTAAAAAAACATATTTTGGGACTTTGTGAGCTCTGTATGTAACAGACAAAATTTTCTGTGGAAATAAACAGTAAATGAGAAAAATAGAGCTGTTACGTGGACTGACTTCAAATTGGGTTTTCTTGCTTAGTTTTAATTTATTTTTCTCGAGTTACACATTTTATTTAGTCATTTTTACTGATATTTGTCAATTGTTGTACTGATACTCATAATATTGCTGGTATTTGTGTCCTGTGGAGACGTTTCTGTACTTCATTCAGTGACGCTGGCCTGCAGAAATATTGTTTTGCACTGTAAAGCATGATGTTATGCCTGTATGATCTACGGGTCTTTTTGGCTGACATGTGATTGTGCATCATGCTGATTTACATGATGCAATAATAATAACGCTACTCCTGTGTTGTTCATTAAGACAATCATTAAAGTACGGGTCTTAATTGTTTTCTAGTTGTCATACTTGTTGGCTGACATCACTCAGTGTGCTGTGATATGCATGTTGCATGTGTGTTGGTTCAGTCAAGACCGTTGCACCCCCTACTCAAAATACATCCCTGCAGTTATGGACTCAAAGTGTTCTTCAAAAGGACAAAAATTAAATGATTACCTTCCCTTAACAGATGACCGACTGTCCCATCCTTGCAATGTATGCCAGGCATAAATCCCACTTGTATCCACAAGGTAATAAGGAGCATCTCCCATCTGCAGGGCCAATTCATGGTAGACTGATATGAGTAATTATGTATCCTAAACCAGCATGGCATCTAAACTAACACAGCACATGCTTGTGCATGTGTATGTGCATGGGTGGGTAGTGGGTGGGCTTGAGCAATGCTAAGGGTTTTGCCCAGTGTGATTAGTTGTGAGCTGCTTAGAGCAGGAAGTATGCTTTGTGTACAGTGGAAGTAAGCACCAAAAAAGGCAGTTTGGGAGGACTGATTCAGAGTAGACATAAATTATAGATTTACATAGTTAAATTTACATACATTTCAGTTAACAAGACACAATAACACACTCGAGATGCTACTGGAGATGAAGCCTCATACATGTGTCAGTCTGTTATCTGGCTGGTTTTGCAGTTTTTTCCCCTTACTCTTAATAGCATTTCTTAATTTAAAATAAAAGCTATTTAATCAAGATTATGGAGACAGACTAATCACCAACAAAGGCTTTATGAACATCACAAAATTCACAAGAGTGGAGAACGTTCAGTAGATTTGATGTGGAGTGTCCCACAAGCTTAAAGTTTGTTTGTGTCCACATACCTCAGACCCTGTGTCAGTCTCACAATACACAAGAGTGCTTAGACCCTCTGAGTTAACTTGCCAAAACAGCTTCTGCTGATTTACCACATCCTGACCTACTGCACAACAACAGTGTATATAAGCATATTAAACTGAAAGGACATTTCTGTCTTATGTATACTGACCCCAACAAACATGAATCGATTGTTTCATTCCATATGTATACAATTTAGTTATGAAAGTACATTACAGATCTTATGCATTTTCAATTGACACACTTCCTGCCCTAACCCTATTCATGTATGTAGTTCAGTGCTTACATGACAAATTCCAATCAAAATGTTATGATTTTATAGCTTCACAGCGCCAACTGTAGTGACAGTTTGCTAACCCACAGCTTAGCTAACATTAGTTACATTGCTGTGTCGTTGTTCGCTCTATCATGGTATTTGTCATGGTATTGGAGTTCTCCAGGATCGCAGACCTTCACTTTTAAGGACAAAAAAGCACCTTATTTACATTTTTTTATTTAGGACTAAAAGTATTGAGAATGAGGAAAACAATACTGTTGTGTTTATTTTTGAAGAAGATATTTGGTGGTGTAGAATATGGTTCAACTTTGAGGGCCCTTGTCTACAGAAAGGTTGGTCATTCTGGTTAATCAAACTTCATTCTATCATTCTCATGTTTGGACTATTAGTTGGACAAACAACAATTTGAAGATGCCACTTTTGGCTCTGAAAAATTGTGACAGGCTTTTTTCTTTTACTATTTTCTGAAATTTTATAGACAAAAGAAAATAGTTATGACAATGACGTAACTGTCGCAGTGACATGTTTCATTGAAACCTTTATTTTGTATGTTCTGTAATAAATTCATGATTACTTGATACTACTTCATACAGCCATTCAACAATGAAAAATACATATGAACGATAATGCTAAAAGGGGTATAAAAAAATAAAATGTGCTATTTTTAATGACGTTAGTTAAAAAGTTTTATTTCAACTAACATAACAGAGAATAATGGGTCACATGACCATAGTTAAGTTGAGGACATAACCATGGCATTATGGGTAAGAGACAATGTGGATGCAAAGCAGAGCATGCAGATGAATGACATACAGCCTCTTTACTCTGCACTTGGTTCAAGAGGTACACACTGTAATTGTCTTTCACTTGATCTTTCACTATGATCAGTATGTTAAGCCTTTCAGAAAAAAAAAAATAGTACCTTTGTTGATGTCAGCCATTGGGCAGCCATGAAAAAGTTGTAAAACAGAGTAAGACCCTGACTGTATCATAATCAATCAAAAGTGATGTTTTTTGATTGGGAATGTTTTCATGCTCAAAAAAATAATTATTAGCTGCACACACTAAAAATGAACCTTGTGATCATGAGATATTAGTTACAGGAAAACATATTTCTCTGCAGAGAGCGCTTGCCACACACTGATAAAATCTCTACCAACACATGGGGTGGCACCCTGCGTTTAATGAAGCTTTTCTGAAAATTGTATAGACAATTACCCAGAAGTTTCTGTGATTTTCTGACTTCAGAGAAAATCAAAGATTTCTAAAACAATACCCCTAACCCAGCCAAACAGCCATAACTGGCATTGCAAACAATAATGTCAATAGATGATTCACTGAATCATTGTTGTCATTATTAAATTAAACTTGATAGGTGCAGCAGGATTATCAATTTTGGACTAGCAGAAATAATATTTATATTAAATGAAAGATTTCAACTCGCATTACATTCACCTCAGGTCATCACACTGAAGAGACAGGAAAAGGGTAGTGCTGAATCATTTAATTGGCTATGATGATGAAATGATAGTACAAGCAAAATTACCATACCATTGACCAAAGTTAAGCAGCCCTGTGCTTAGCCATGTACAGTATTACCCTGTGTTATACTGTTATATTAGACAAAGACATCTGTGACATTTATTCAGCTAATAGCATTGCCAACACAGCCAGAGAAGGGAGAAGTTGGATTAGGATCACAAAGAGCCCCTAGTAGTAGTAGTAGTAACCAGTGTTAGTTACAACGGTCACTGGACAGCCCACTGAATTGGCTACAAACCCCTGTCTTTAAAGTAAGCTGGCAGACCTTCTCCAAGCAGCCTACACGGTCAAGGAGACCTCTGTCCCCAGGTCCAAGAGGTGAGTTTCTGTTACCCAATCAGGTTCAGGGTATATCCAGTTATAGGAAGTTACTGGAGGAGAGGTATTACTGTAAATGTAATGCCGTACATTTCAAAATAAAAAGGTTCTGTTATGGGGTTGTGTGGTGTGGGGACAGAGAGGACCCAAAAGCAGCACTCTGAGGGAAGAAGGTTTATTGAGGGATAAAGGGGTAGAGGGACTGGAGGGGAGGGAGAGGTGGATGTCGGGGAAACACAGGCACGGGGAACCAGGAACACTGGGGCCGAGGAAGCGAGGAGCGGTGGGAGAACAGGGAGGACAACGTGGGGGGGTAGTCTGAGAAGGAGAGGGCCGGTGGATGAGCCCATCCGATTGAACAGAGGACGAGGGTGAGTGTACCTGGGAGGGAAACAGACAGAGAGACAGGGTTAGAGGTGACGGCAACAAAGCACAGGGAAAATGTGTAAAAACAAGAAACATGAAAAGCCTGAACACAGAGGTGGCACCGGGTACGGAGCAACGACGATCAAGTGAGGATGGTGTGGAGAACCGGGGTTGAAATACAGGCAGGGATGAGGTTGATTACTGGCAGGTGTGGCAGGCTGACGAGGTGGCTGATGAGGTGCAGGTGCAGGTAGTTGGCTGGGCTCAGGAGCAGAGGGAGAGAGAGCACACAGGGGAGAAAACACAGGGAGGCAGGCAGAGAACAGAAAACCAAGGAAAACGCAGAATAAGTGATAAAAAGGAGAAAAAACCAGGACACTCACCGTCAGCCGGGCTGCCACCACAACAGGTTCAGTTTAATTCACACAATGTAGGAATTAATATATGGAGTTCAGTAGTACCTACAACTTTGAGAAGAAGACATGTTAATGATGATAGGGTTATTTTTAAACCTAGCCAAACACTGCTTCAGAATATTTCCTCCCTGACGAGTTGTCACCTGTCATATGAACATAACTGTTTCTGCCAAAACCAGACCAGACAACTAAGACATAAACCAGCAAATGTGTCTCTTGTCAAGTTTACACACAGAATACATATTTAAAGGAGTCCCTTCAAAGAAAACACATTTTCAGTTACACCCACCACCAATAGGCTTGAAGATGGCTCTGAAAACTGAAGCTTGCCCCATGGTGTAGTCAGTTTGGATTCTCTAATCTAACACCATTTATGACCACAGCACACTATAAATTAATGTTACTCCATGATAATATTAACTACATAGCGTTCCCCAAACAAAACTCGAGGGAAAATCCAAGCATTCTTTTTTTTATCCATCAACATGTAGCATCTTCAAAAGTACTTTTTTGGCCTGTCTCCTTAGCATCACAAAATGTTTGCCCATAGCAAAAACAACTTGTCAATCCAACTATGTCAGTGGCAAGCAGCTGTAGTAGAGTCTGAATTGGGTCCAACTTTTCGCTCGCACAGACATTTTCTCATTCCAGGCAGACAGGTTACATTGGCGGGATTACAAACATACTATTGAAAATACAATCTGCTGCTAGATAAACCTTTGATTTTGCTTAAAGATGGCTATATGTGGCCAAATTACGGACTAACCTGTCTAAAGTAGCCTATGTGCTGAGGTCACAAATGGGGAAATGGGCGAAAAGGAAAATGTCCACATGACGCTTGTCCATATGCTCAGAATGCTCAAAACACTAACTTAACATATGTAGAAATAAACACTAGGCCCTATTACTGGGCACCTTAACTTAAGCTAGTTTTTTCGTTAATAACAATGCAAATGCACATGCTTCCAACAACGGTAACCACGCTAGATGGGCTTGGTTTGAGTTGTTTCTGTTGACATTCTGATATAGGCCTATGTTAGCCGCGAAAGCTGTCAAGTGCCAGACAAGTAACGTTATGGTTACAGTTATGCTGCGTTCACTGTGATTCTTACTGCTGAATCATTATAGCTGTAAGCATGTAGGCCTGGGCTGACTGTGAAAGCATGAGGCATGTTTGTCTTATTAATTATACAAATATAATTATTAATATTATCATATGTAGAGATTTAGCTACAATTACGCTTCCTTTTTTCCTCTGTGAGAGGGAAGAATTTTTGACAAGTTGCGTGGCGCTGCAGAGAGCCCCCAGCTGCACTAGTGCATGGATCATGCCTAATATTCATCCAGCCAGAAGGAACGATCACAAACAGTTCACAGCGCGTCGGCCGTACTAACGACACAACCCGTAGTACCGGAGACGGAGTGGAGCGGACAGGGCCAGGAGATCGGCCCGCTGCGGACCGTCGGTGATCGTTCTCTCTGGCTGAATGAAGTCTGACGCATGGATCCGTGATGATAGAGAAATATAGAAATCAATGGCAATAAAGCATGCTGTCAATATTTTAGAGACCCCCCAAAATATCACAAATCATGCTTTTAGGGGAGATGGTGTCCTCTTTAGGGGAGCTAAGCTCCCACTGGCTCCCCCGTAGTTTGCACCCTGTCTTCTGCCCCACCCTTTGCGTTTTGGACACAGGTATGAGTTTTCAGTAGCCTAAATATTGAGATTCAGTCTTTCAACCACTATTTGAGCACATTTTATGGCATGAATGGATTTTGCGTTTCAATGCTTAATGAAGTTAATTTAGAACAATGTTTGAAACACTTTTTAGTGTGTTACATAAATTAATCTAATTTTTGAAATGATGAGAAGTTTTTTAAAGTGAGGTGGAAGACCACTTATTCAGTGCCGGAGTCTTTTAATGTGTAAACGCCGACATACAGCCGAGGTGAGGTAAGGCTTATATTTTCATACAGCTGGTAAGAATCAAATCAGTGCATTAAGGCTATGCCTGTTAATTTAGGTATTCACACTGTTGGCTGTCTCCCTGCATGTGATTGTTAGGGTTAGTTAAGCTAGATAACTAAAAGATATCCTGGGTATTTTGAACTCGCTTCGTGGTATAGGCCCCTGTTGCTGGATAGGAGATTGAATAGGTTTAGACCCTCTTCCCAAATGCTTGCCTTTTTATTACATTAATGTGGCCAAATCAGGAGTAAGTTAACACATTAAGGTTGAGGGCGAGGGGTTGCTACTCAAAAGATAAATAAGTAAATGTCATGATGATCTTCTCTTATTACACATTTGCATTGTGTAGCCTGTAGTCTGTGTGTGGGAGTCGTCAGGAAGCTGGCCAACTGAGACCATGTTTGACAGACAGTCCTGTGCCTGCGGTTGGTTTGTGGAGGAAACTCATTGACAGATCAGCTCTGTGCAGAAGGGGAGATCAGTGTTCCTGAACTCTCTGCTTTGGCCCCCAGTAGCCTAGCCTGTGGTTGCCCCACCATGCTTACTACTAAGCAGGCCAACAACAAAAACACAACACAGTAATCTTTGCAAAACTGGACTTATGCAAATGGACCAATTGCTTGCAGTGATGAGTCCAGTCACCACGCAAAACCTTTATTTAAGGAATCAGTTAATGAAAACACACTGTACATTCTCCTATAATGGATATATTACCATACATTGTGTTAGGTTTCATAGCGTTAAAGGTAACTAATAGCGAGTACACTGGCTGTGAATCTGCTCTGTATTAGTAGCATTTTCCAAACAACTTGTGGTGGAGCTTTGCATGCAACACATGGTGAATCTACCATGATTGCATTTATATCGGTCTGTAACTACATTCGAATAGAAGTCTTTGATATATCTACTTGACCTTTAAAAAGAGACAAATACATACAATAGTTACATTCACATGGCAGTGATAGGCAAACAGTAAAAGACACAGATGGCATGAATGAGGCTGGTTTTAAGTGCTACATTGTATGTGTCTTTCATCCTTTTTTAAGTCTGAGAGCTTGAATGTTTATGATCCACACTGTGTCCTTTAAATTTCATCTTAATGAAAATATTTCCTTCTCCATAAAGAGTAATGGAGAGAAAATTAAGTCCAGCGTTGACACCCCACAGACCCTGTGGTGTTTCAGCAAGTCACATAGCTCCTTATTTGCCACTTCTCCTCAACACTCAGAGAAAAGAGTCCAGCATTGTAACTTTTGTAGGAGCAATAGGTACAATGTTGTGTTGTTTTCATGGGAGTGTTTTGTAGCGATAGGGGCTCAATATTTCCCAGTCAGTGGCAATCACATTTCTCCATCCAAGGCCCAGCAATACTCCACATCTCTTAACGTCTCTGATACCTCCACACAGTGTCCTTTCACAGTTCTCCATCTATAGCTGGGTGGCTTTGGTAGAGCGCCTGGTCCTCCTGTCTCGGCGTTGAGAGGCAGGAAGGTGGCAGTAACGTGGCGACCATCCTCGGGACTTCCTCATGGGGCTATGTGGCATGCTAGGGTCTGGGGGGACTGGTAGTCAGGCCTCCTCGGCTGTGGCGTCTATCCCAGCGTAGGTGAAGTTCTCAAAGAGAGCCATGTTCACATAAGCCTAGAAGATGGATAAAAAAGAGTTATTCAAGCTTTTAAAAAATGATTTGGCAATAATTTGGCATGCTAGAAGTATATTGACTCCATCTGATCCTTAATGCTTAAGCCTTATAATGCGATCATGTCATATAATACAAAACATAAACATGAACTGGAGAGTGGGATGAACCCCTCACGTCATGCTAATTACATATCTGTGTAATTACATATAAGAGAATGGGAGAAAGCGGAATTTATGATAGCTGTAATATCCCACACTTAGTGAGAAGAATTACAGTAGTGTCAACAAACTGGTGCCAATTGGCTGCAAACTTACAATTTGCAGTTCAGTGTTAATTAGAAATAAAATAGTAATGCCCTACATGTAAACTGACAAACAAAATAGCAATTTTAGACTGTGTTTCTAACTATCTGAATTACTATAACCTCAAACCAAAGGGGTAACCATCATTGAGTGATGTTTGAACACTCCAAAGTGGTAACAACAGGGCAATTTCCTATTTTTCCCCTTCTGCTGACATTGTGTGAATGCAGCATTACCTTCCTTGCCTCCTGCATCCTGTTGAGCTGGACAGAGATTTGGGAGAAGGGGGGTCTCTCATAGGGCCGATCCCTCCAGCACTGCTTCATCAGCTCATAACTAGACAGGGAGAGAAACATTAATGAATGCTCTAAAATAGAGGAGAAAAAAAGTCAGAATAAGATAATCAATAGCTACAAAATGCTGAGTACTTACACCTCATCGTCACAGTTTTTGGGTTTCTCCATCCTGTAGCCTTGTGGCAGTTTTTCATAAAGCTCAGCACATGTCATCCCACAATATGGTGTGCCACCTGACACACACACACACAAAAGGGGAGGGAATGCGTTTCTGATTATGATTATGAGGTGATTGTGAGTCAAGCAATAAGGATAGTTGTCATCATCCTACCATAAATTCAACCACAGAAACAACTAAATGTAGATATGATATATGATGATATGATACAACAAACAAATTGCAAAATTTCTTGATGTCTACTACAATTCTTGTATAAGAGAGATAGAACTTCTGTTGGCCTGTCAGCTGGTATTTGAGGCTAGGATTCTTAGCAAGAGTAAATCTGGAGCGTTAGTAATTTACATAAATGAGAGGAAATGGTAAAGCTCCTGGGTTTAAAAGCTTGCATAGATGTAAGGCTGGGTACTTACTTACCTAAGCTTACAATTTCCCAGAGAAGAACACCAAAAGACCACCTGGGAAAGAAGATGTAACGAAAGAAGACATAGAAGGAAAATGGGAAGGATTTCATTAGTAACACCTGAAAAAGTCTTCCTTTGTTGATCATATGTGGGTTAAGGTTAAAAGTAAAAAAAAAAAAGGAATACTTTAGTCCAGTCACCCTCAAAACTATGCATTTTAAAGCTAAAAATGCTGCTGTTACCTGTAAAACCTTGTGATTGTCATGTTTTTACAATGCCTTGCAAAAAAAAAATGCACGACTCCATTTGAACATTTTTATAATTAAATAAATATGCATGGGATCTGATAAGGAACCACTGAATGTCTCAACAACATGAAACCACCAGCTCTCCTGCTATCTGATTATCAACTGAATTCACGAGAAACACCACTAGTCACATGTTATGATGCGGTGTGAGATAATTTGATCAGACAATTGTTGTTTGTGCTGTCGGCCTGTCCCTTTGTCCCTGCTTATCTCTTTGCTTCTGTGCACAATGTCTCACTCTGTCTCAGATCTTGCTCTCTTGTCTCTCCCTAACACTCTGTTTCTCTTAACTAATGTTTACAACTCTCTTTGGCCCTACAGGCAGCCTTCAAACCTTTTCCGTTAGCTGTCCTAAGCCTCTTCTAACTTGTTTTTTGCTATGTATAAATAGGCTCCACTTGACAGACTAACGTCTCAGTTTGTCTGCTTAGTTGTACCCAGAGCTTCCTGGTTGTGCTTATCAGTTACACAACACACCGTTATCACTCCACCAGTGACAGAGGGATGATTTGTTGTTTTCAGTCATGTGGTGTACATAATGAACTGAAAAAAACTTCACTAGAGGCTGAAATCATTTTAAATAGGTTACTGTGATGCTGAAGAAGACATGAGATGGAAGAATCTTTACTTATCAAGATTGTTGATTATCGTTAACTATCAACCATCCAGGAAGTGTTTGTAAACCACTTAGCCAATGGTTTCAAGTTTGCAACGTCAAAAGCCTGCCATGTTACTCAATATGTGCGAAGTTCTCAGAAATATCTTTGCATTTTGATTCAGTGGTTTCAAATACAGACATAATGCTCCAGGTGTTTAAACTCCTGTGTAAAAAACACAGAGAGCTTTGCCTACCCTGAAAAACTCCACCTGTTGCAGTGAGTGCAAGAGTTAAAGCCAGGACTTATGTTAGTTCAACAGATGAGCTCAAACTGTAACTCACACATCACTCTTGGTCGTATACACACTGTAGTTCAGGGACTCAATGGCCATCCAGCGTACAGGCAGCCTCCCCTGAAAGCCAAACAAATAAAAAAATCACATAGGCTTAAATCAGTCTGGCAAGTTGTTACTGTTGTGATACAAAGTTGATGATAGAGATGAGATCCAGTTTACATTACAAGTACACGGCCTATTCAAGCCATGTAGTACACCTAGTACACTATGCTGCTGTTGATGGTATTTATACATGATTGCCCTCTACAGGTCATCTCACTTATTATCAGAATCTGTCATTTGCTGTCTGTGGTAAAAACCAACCCAAACTAGATTTAAACAAAGAAAAATCTTGTTTGGGCTGTTTAATTGCATTTAATTTGACATGATTCTAGTGAATAACTGCCAATCTTGGTAGCAGTAAGCAATTCATCTTAAAAATAGGTTATTCTAAGTATAGTATTTTTCACAATGGTATACTGATAAAGTAAAAATGATTTTGTGGCAGACTACAAATTGACAGATGTTTGAAATAACTGACTAAAACTATTAAACTGTGGTGTCACATTTATATAATGTGCAGAGATCCAATGGTAACTGTCTGTTACAGTTTGTATGTGCAACTGATTAGTCTTTTGCTATCTCAAAGAAGAACTTTTAGTTATTGTTTTCAACATGTGAGAAATGTGCACATTGCAACAACTGTTGTCATAGCAGCTGATAGCAATATCATTAATCCACTCTTAAAGTGGAAATACATTGCATACAAAACTGTTTGTCTTCCAAACAACTAGTGCCCTCTGTTGGCTGTGTGTATGACGACACCACTCACCATTGTCTTCTTAACATAAACTTCCTCACCGCGGGACAGGCCAAAGTCTGCTATCTTTGCCACAAGGTTATCCCCAACAAGGACATTCCTGGCTGCCAAATCCCTGTGGATGAACTAGTACCAAGAGAGGAGAAGAGAGGAGAGGCATTTTTACTGTTAATTATACTAGCTCTAATGCATGTATCCTTTACACAGAAACATCATGATATATGACATTATCTATGTTGAAACAGAAGTTACATTTTTGTAGCAAAAAAATAAACATTTATTAAAATGTTTTGTTTTATTGAATATACATCTTCAACGTGCTGTTCTTATGATGAGCCAATGTACAGTGATTTGACAGCATAAAAGGCAATGTAGTAAGTGATAATGACAAATCTGAATAATGAAATAGCCCTAATTATTGCATTTTTTTTAATTATTTGAGTTTTTTTTAAATTACTAAACTTTTAAAGGTGTGATCTTTTTTACATCATGTATTAAATGCTGTATTAAGTATATTACTTTGAAAGAAGAAGTAGTAAGCGCAGTTCATGTAATATATAGATTTTGTTGCAGTAAGAAAGTAAGAAATGCACAACTGGTTTAAGTACATTATTACACGTCTGCCCCATTAGAAGGCCATATAATTAAATGTTAATCTGAAGTTATTGAATTGAAACAGTTTGTTCAGTATTTAAGTCAATTACATTATCAACATCAACTGTCGTGGGGAAACTTGATGAAGAGCATTTTGTAAGAAATTTTAAAGTATAAAGGTAATAAAATTTCAAGAAAACACAGTAATTCACCCACGGAAATATACAAGCAGCCACCCACATACACGCTCCCTCTCCGCCTACCTGTTTGTCACTTAGGTAGTGCATCCCTGTTGCCACGTCTACAGCAAACTGCAGCAGCTGCTGGGAGGTGAGGGTGGAAGCAGTGCCATGTTCCTTGGCAAAAGCAGGATCGGTCTCCAAGACTCTACTCTTCCTCAGGAAGTCGAGAAGGTTACCATAGGGAGCGTATTCGATAGCTATGTACAGGTAACCTGGAGAAGGCAGAGATGGAGTAACATTAGGAAGATGACAGTACTGTATGGAACCAAATGTGCCATAAATGTCCCTTTTTTATGATGTTTGATATCAATATATCATAAACTCTTTGGGATAATACATAATGTATTTTACATTGCTGCAAAATCATACAGTTATTAAGGTCACAGCATATAAACATAAACATTTCATCTTCTATCTGTACAAGCTGTTAGCAGCTCAGCCAGATTCTTAACAATAAGAATATCTTCTTCTCTGCAACAACTGTGACTTTGGCCTTTGCTGGCCTGCCTGCAATAGGCTGGGGAGAGACTGAGTTACAGCTGGTAAGGGGCTTGGCCTTCAACAGTTCTGTCTTGACACAGTCAGAGTTTAACCAGGCCTTTCATAAGATCCTCACAGAGCTCAGCCAGATGGTTGAGGATTTGTTAATAGATGACGGCTTCCAGCCAAAGCCCGAGTTCCTGCAGGTCATCAGGCATTTGTGCTTGTGGGAAGGGTTTCATGTTTATTTCACCATGACCATTGAGAGTGCCAACTCAATTACTCAATACTGTATGTGGATGGAAAGTATAACAGGGCAATGGACGGACTAGTCAAATAACTGGAACCTAATACAGTTATGTTCCTTCTCAGCTACAATAGGTTATGTTAATCAGTTTCCTGCAGCAACGTTCCAAAACAATTTCTTTGCCTAAAATAAAACTTTAAAAGATATTTCCCTCAAACCAGCGAGATAAGCAAAAGAAGGTCAATAAAAGCTGACCTAGAAGGATGCTGACTATTTTGCTTTTCAATCTTTATCTTCAGTCTGTATCTATCAAATATCTTCTGTTCATTTCCTCCTCCTGTCCTGCCGTTCAAGAATCCAATGCTGAATTCCTTCTGCACACACCTAATTCTTTCACAATGTTGATATCTGCAGAGTGAATTTGTTCCAGATCTCTGTAAGATGAGAAAGTGTATGAGCTGAAAACAACACCATATATCTACCCCCTTTTTTAATTATAGACAGATGCTGAATGGACCAAATAAATATAAGCACAAAATTAGAAAACAATCAAGCAGAAAACCCAAAATGCCAAAAACAGCAATTGAGTAACAGCTTGTGTTACCATTGCAAGCCAGTGACTTTTATTCTGTTGCAATAAATTACAAAAGCTTTTCCCTGAGCAAAGGGAGAGGCAGCACAGAAGAAGCAAATTGTATGTCAAAGAAATATTACTCCTTGAAAGCATCATGTCTTTGTTCTTGGTCTCTTTCCTCCTTTATTTTCCCATCTTTACCTTTCAGGCTGATTTACTCCCTCCCCTCTTGCCCTACCAACCCTTCCTTCCTTCCTTCCTTCCCCTCTTACTTCCTTCATCTTTTCCTCCATTTTACACCAGTTTGCGAGTTGAACACAGAGCCAGCCTTTCCATACTGTAAATGGAGTACACACGTGTTAACCTTTCAAATAGTTGTTGTATAAAATCATCACAATAAAAAAAATTGAATGTTGTTGCAGATGGTGCACATAATAACAATAAAAATTTTTGTTGGTTATAAGGCATGGTAACGAACAGCTAAATCATAAAAGACAAAAACTGCTCTGACATATAGGACGACAGTTGATATGAAAATCAATTATTATGAGAAAGACAAAAATTTAGAAATTATGCTATTCATGAGAAAGAGGTTTTGTTATTCTAGTTGAGGTTGGGGTGGTACAGTGTATATGTTTTGTGGTACTCAAATCACTAAATAAAAGTAGTGAACCTGAGTTAAATAACAGATGTAAACACTGTAGAGTGAAGTTCTGCAGATTCAAGTGCTACCTGAAACCGGTGGAGAGACACGCTGATTGAGTCACATGTTTATTTTTCAAGGTTGATTTGGTTTGGTAATATCCTCAGTGATATACTTTCCACGCTAGACTTCCTCTCTCATATGTTATCCATCTTTGATCAAACAAAATCAATTAAATTATTCAAAGTAGAAGCAATCGGATGTGGCTGTGGGAAACTGACTTAATCCATGGTAAGAACTGGGGCCAAGGAAACCTTATACAAAGACATAAACACATGACACAGCAGTATGCTTGTGAGGCACATGGACAAATCAAACAACTGTGCCTCACAATGCTTCTGACAGGCAAGGATTATTTAGATTTGACACATTCTGGTGCTTTCCGGGTACAGATATCAGAGGATCAGATCAGAGTATCTAACCTGTTCCTTTACAGTACATCCCCAAATGATGCATGGTATATTCAGTACACACACAATTTATAAGGCATGGACTCCAGATAAGTAAGGTAAGGTAACATACATACAGCTTTATTGGTGTTCAACCAACAACCTATTGATATTTATGACATGTGAATCCCTATACCTACCAAAGAAGTAGTACACCATACATAACCATCAGTATGTATTCAAAAGCCATAAATTGAAAGCACATCAATATACAGATATATAAGAGCCACTAGGTGTCACTCACTCACCTCTGTTCTCACAGGCTCCTATCAAGTTGATTATGTTAGGATGCTGGCCTAGTTTACACAGCACCTCCAGCTCCCCTGCAAAGTCTCTGTGGTCATTCTCTGAGGCAAACTCTGCAGGAATATCAGCACACGCAGCATCATTAGACAAAGTGCAAGCAAAGCAGCTTCAGCTGGCATCTTGAAATGAAATCAGTCAAAGAATGCACTGCACTGGGATATATTTGCTCTTTGTTTGTGTGTGATGTGTGTACAGTATGTGTTTGTGAGTGCTTGCATGAATGTGTGTCAAAGTTACCTTTCAGCATCTTGATGGCTGCGCTCATTTTGCTGCCATCTTTCTTGATCATGGCTTTGATTACCTGATTATGAATCAGTTGTTAGCTTAAATGTTTAACCCAGTGAATAAAGTACAATAACCAAAGAAGAAAAGATAAAAATATTCAGAATTAAAAGCTCAAACACCTGTCCAAAGTTGCCCTCTCCAATGACATCTTCAAACTTTATGTCCTCCCACTCCAGGATTGGATAGGTGAGGGGCTCTGGAGATGGTTTGGGCCTCCGTGTCAGGGTCAGAGTCCCTGAGTTAAACTGCAGAATAGTTTCCTCACCCTGGTGGGATAAAGAGTCTTAAACTCTACAATAAATATGAATATATTAAAATTCTCCAAAGCAGGGTTACCTGAAAATGAGCTTTGTCAAATTAGTTGGGATGTTAACCAGGACTCAGTAAATCCCTCAGCTTTACAAAACTCTGAATTGTGTTTTTTGGTGCGTCCTTACCGATCCAGACTGGTAGGTGAACGTGCGCCGCCGGTTGAGCAGTGTCTTGCGGATGAAGAAAAGAACCAACAGCGCCAGCAGGATAGTCACACAGGTGACCGTTACCGAGCCCACCACCGCCACCAACAGTTGGTAACTGTCCCCAGCAGGCCGCCCAGCCACACCCTGGGTGGTCGGAGTTAGACTCTGAAGGCCTTTTTTTGGCAGAGGGGAAGAGAGGGGAGGACAGAGGGGCAGGGTGGAAGATGGAGAGAAAAACCAAGTAGGGAGATGGCGATGACTTTCAGATAGTGGAGATAAATAGGCTGTCTGTGTATTATTATCTGGAGTAAATCACTGTCCGTGTGGGTGGTCTTGTTCAATGCCACCTAGGAAAAGCCCAACATTGGCTACAATGGAAATGTTCCACTAGGAGCTACTTTTAGCTTGAAGGGAAAATAAATGTATGTCCCAGAAACCATCATTTCTATTTCAGTCTTGGAATTAAACCCTCAATTTGAAAAATGAAGAAAAGCCCCGAGACAAATTTATTGAATATCTTTTGAAATGATGACCCATTCAAGCAATCAAGCAACTAGGCATTTAGCATTTGTGCTGTACTACACAGTGCAATTCAATTGTATTTATATAGCGCCAAATTTGCTGCCTTGGTGTACCAAACCAGAGAGGAAAGGCAGACAACAAGGTTTTCTCAGACTTTCCTGGTCTGACCTTCCACATCTAGGTTCCAAATCCTTTAGAATGAGAAAGTTGTCATTTTAATTTGAATTGTTCAAACAATATCAACAACATGTCAGTAATTTCCTGTTATCTCATTTGCAGCATATATATTTGATAGTAATTTATTAAGTAGTAATGCTGGATAAAAATACGTGAGCAGACAACAACTTCCTACTCACCATCCCCTTGTGTCATCGCCTGAGCAAACTTGCTCCACTCTCCTGGCACTTTGGAGAAAGCCCTCACTCTGAACTGGTACAGCGTGCTGCCATTGAGTGCTGTCACATCTTTGGTGGTCTTGTTTCCATCATCTGTGTCCACCCAAGGGTGGGGGCTCCCCTGGCCAACTGGCTGGTACTCTATGATGTATTTAATGATGCCTCCATTGGGATCTTCAGGGGGCTGCCACCTCACCTGGATGGCTGATATGGACAAAGGCAGGGCCTGGACGTTGCGTGGGGATGATGGACCTGAGACACATAGACATCATTGTTAGGGCAATCAACATTGATTCTTTAAAACTACATTCTAAAATAAAATCCATTCACAGGCTTTTAAGCTTGGGTGCTCTGAGAAAGCTTTAATACCAAAGAGAGTTTAACAGCATTCATTGCTGTTCTGTCGGATGGATCTTTTTCTAAGTTGTTGATATCCGGTGATTGCACACTAAACTGGATAATTCTTTGACACCTAACTATCAGCTGCAAAACTGTTTCTTTTAAAGTTTGTGGGCAGGGAGAGAGTCACCAAGTAACCAACAAGAACCAATGCTACTATTTCCTGAGTGATTCTAAGACGCTCTTATAATCCCATCCATAAAACTAAATACATGTGAGCTGTTAACATTCTGTTTATTGTGTTACGCCTCATGTTTTGCCATGAACCGCTGTAAATGCATTATATTATTATATAAGTGCATTGAAAATCTTTCAACATTTAGAAGGAGCCTTCCTTGCATCTTATTAACAGCAGAGTTTCTAGTTACCCTGGCTGTTGATGCGGAAGTGGTAGGGTTTAGAGGGCGGCCCCTGGCTGCCACAGCTGATGAGGCGCACCGCCACGGTGTAGTCTTGCTGGTACTCCAGGTTGTGGAACTTTGTGGAAAGCACATTGAGCAGGGTGGTCTCCTCCAGTAGTTTCTCCCTGTAGGGTGGTGGCCCGAAGAGCTGTACTAAAAAGCCAGTGGCTGTGCCAGCATTAATGCGATTGTTGGCAGGCAGTTGCCAGCGTATAGTGGCATTGCGGCCTTCCACCGAGCTGATGTCAATCTCAGGTTGAACTGTGGGCTCTGCAGCAACAGAGAACACAGGAAGAACTGAGGGGACTAACAGCTCCTTGTGAATTTCTTTCATTAAGTCAGTCATGGTTCCCTCAAATTTCCCGGAGGGATAAAATATTTTGAAGTGTATTGAACTCTCAATTTATATTTCACTAGGCTGCTTTACGGTAGGTAGTGCTGTTAGCTCACAACAAGAGACTAGCTTTAAATATTGGCCTTGGTCTTCTCTGAATGTACCCATAAGAATGCACTGGTTTCCTCCCACAGTCCAAAGACATGCAGTTTGATTGAAAGTCTCAATGTGTTTGCATGTCTGTGCAGCAAATCCGGACTACATACTAATTCTAAGCAGGCTTTACGTATGTAGTCAGTTTACATGGGGAAAGGTAAAATAAAACATACTCAATTCAGGCAGTATGCATACTAAAAATCTAAAACAGTGATGTACAGTGATGTACACAATTCGTACACAATGCATTGCAAAGAAAATGGAGGACCTCACATCTAGAAAAAATGACAAGTATCTGATGATGGTGGAGAAACAGCTCCAGGAACATCTTCCAAAACTAAAAGGATATAAAAAAAACATCTGTTGTCTCTTTGTTAAGTTAAATTGGCAGTAGTACTCTTACTCACTTTATAACTTATGTTCAACTGAAAGTATTGTATCATTTCCTTTTAGTATAGTACAGTAAAATATGTTGATTTGGTGTTTTCTAAGTGCAAAATAGTGTACGACTCAAGATTAATTTATAGTATGTACTGTATATAGTTAGGGTGTAGTATAGATTTGGCACACTGTTGGCTTTGTGATGAACCCACAACCTATATGGGGTGTTTACTTGCTTACGTGTTTTGGCCAATTGTGCAGTACGCCACAGCACCCTGTGACCCCCATTAACGGTATTATGTGGCCTGATAAATTAGACATTTGATCATAAATACAGTATTTTTCATGCAGAATTTTATTTGCATCATATGCCATTTAGAATACGCATTTTACTCCATAGTCTTTAACTGTTCTGTGGTCCTCCTCAAGAGTCAGTAAATACACTATTATGAATAGTTTGTGCTTGTGCAAGAGATGAACATTGCCTTGTAACAAATAACATTTGTTCCATTTTACACATGGACGTGACCACATATTGCCAAATATTCAAAGTCAATAGAAAAATGCACTATGACACTCCAAAACCATCCCTTTTCCATTTCAGTTTTTTCCATGATCTCTCCTGTACTAACACACTCATATGATCTCTCCCTCTGCACCACAATCATTGAGGAATAAAATCCCAGACTCTGCCACTTGAATGCAAACTTTGTAATTCCTAGCTGACTGATGGCGATGGTTTATTTTTTGTTACTTTATTTTTTATCCCATATGGTCATCATTTTATCTTGACAAAGTGCCCAGATATCATTACAGTTGCACTTGCATCTTTCTATATTTGCCCCAGACTTAAGTCATCAGGACAGATATGCTCACTGGGGAAAAGACAACTGGCTCCTTAAGGCCTGGGAAAAGCACTGCTCTGAAGAAATGATGAGAATTTACTATTAGTCTAACCAGCCACAAAATAATATGCTTGCTTAAGTTCGGTGGTCCAGACAATAGACATTTGTTCCCAGGCAAGATTTCCTGATAAATATACTCATTTACAGTATGTCTGGACAGCCCAGTTATCTGTGGGCCTTACCAGGACAATCAGTCTCCATGATGGCCTCTGGCCCCGGGGCCCCCTCTCCTCCTTCCCCAGGACGACTCAGCTGGACACGGACACGGTAGCGTGTTGAAGGCTCCAGGTTCATCAGCGTGATGGGCTCTTTTTCACTATAAACTAAAATAAAATGGATGTAGTAAATACTGATTACATGATATTTTATTTATTATTTAACAGCAAAAATTTGGCTTAAAATGTCGATAGAATTGTTATATATGCAGCGTATACATATCAAATTATTCAAAATTCAGAGGTTAAATGTTTTTTATTAGTTATTATCAGTTGTTTTGGGGGGAAAATGGTTCAACTCAGTAGGACATAATGAGACGATCTTTTTCTTTACATAACCTGTACATAACCTGCATTGTGTTTTATTCATTCTAATTTCGTCTCTGCCAGAATTTCCATTTAGTATTAGATTTATTATGATTGAGTAAAAAGCAATGATTTATTTCCCTCTGTAATTGTACCAACAGTAATACATTATAACCTTGGCTGATCTTACAAGGTGTTAAATAAATAAAATAATGAGGATCACTGGTTACTGCACTGTTTGCTTTTGCTGCTACTGTGGAATGAATGAAATGTTCTAAAAATGTTGCTTTCTGTGACAGGCTTACTAAACAACATCTTTGACTGATGTCTCTGCCTGCTTACCTATGATGGAGGACCAAGAGTCTCCGTTATCCACAGGCTTGTAGAGGAGCCTGGTGGAGACAATGGGGCCGTCTCCTCTGTGGGAGTCCACCGGCATAACCAGCAGCTGCTTACTCCTTTTTTCCAGCAGTTTGGGAGCAGTAGTGGGCACAGGGGGCTCTGAGCAGACACAGCAAAATACTTTAAAATGTGCATCTTTCCTGCTGTCGTGTGATGTGCCTACATACTGGAACAATAATATATGTTCCCATGTGTTTATTATATCCAATTTTATTCAGAAGAAACCACACACACAGACCTTTAATGGTGAGGTTGAACTTGCGGGAGTCCTGGCCTCCATTGGTGGACACCCTGCACTCCCACAAGCCTCCTTGCAGAGCAGTCAGACGAGGGATCTCAAATGTGGCTGTACTCTTATTTGAGTCCATTGTAGTGAGAGTGGCCTGACAGTAAAATACACAACACATAAAAGCAATGCAATGCACGATTAAAACTACATTTCCATTTCATGTCTCTATTTTTGCTGCTGCTTGGAAGAACGTCTTCACTGTGAGAAATGTCTGTCTTCCTGTGGGAAGTGCTGGTACATACTGTATCTTTAATAGTTTATTTATGTTATCAAGGATTCAGCACAGAAAGTATAAGTAATATTATTATAATATAATATATATAATATTAATAATAAACTGAACATGTGACTTATGGGCAGCACATGGTAACTGCTGCACTGCAGAGTGATATAGCCTTATCTGGTCAGGCCATTATGTTGTTGACTTCCTCAGAGTTTCACTCAACCTTGTCATCATCTGCCCAATCTTAAAGGCACAGTACAATTTAACTTTACTCTGATGTTACAGCACTTGACAATGTTACTAAATGTCCACACGCTGATTTATTTTATTTATCATTATTTATTTCTTAACAACAGTTTATTTGTCTGCCCAGCACCACTGTGCAGCATTTCCACAGGCTGCCTTGCAACCTCACAGTGTTTTAACAGTTTTGTTATTATTTGATATTATATTATATAAAATTAGTGCTGGGCAATGATTAAAATATTTAATCGCATGATTTTCTGCGATTAATCGCGATTAAAGTAGTGTATTGCACACTTTTAATTTAAATGTGCTGCTATATACACAAAAGTGCAATAACATGTGGTTTGCAAACACTTTACATTTACTCATTTGGCCGACGCTTTTATCCAAAGCAACTTACATTTGAGGAACAACATACAAGCATCAACAAAGCATCAATACAGTAAGAGATCTACAACTGACAATATATACTAGTAAGAGCACTAATAAATACTAGTAAGAGCTAATAGTACATGTCGCATCGATGGGGTAAACAGGGAAGGAAGTAAGAGCAATCAAAACAGGATACTTGTAAGTGGACAGAAGAAGAGCACAGGAAGTGCATGTTAGAGGTTAGGAGTTAGAGGTGTTATTATATAAAGTGTTCTTGGACTTTATACAGTAGCAATAAAATATTTCTTTTAAATCTCAACTTAATTATTAATGTAATCAAATCAATTATAAAACCAAAGCTATTTGCCACTGCCAGGGCATTAGCTTTTATCTAGCTTGATAAAACAAGTTCAGAGCCACAATTATGACATCAAAACAGGCACCTTCCGAGCAACAGGTTAACATATATAAATCTGTTCTCTATTTTTTTTTCTGAACAGGTATCAGCAGAAACATTTTTCTTTTATCAGGGTGCAGCATAAACAGTCTATGTACAGTAGCAAGTGTCCCTATCAGAGTGAGGTGAAGTGGTCGCCTCACGCACTAAACAACACAACGAAGTTGAATTGTCTTGAACTTTTTGCACGCGACGCAGAGTGCAAATCATTGGAAGAGAGACTGATCCTCGTTGTCTGTGAGTTTCCAGAATCTATTACTGTTTACTAAATAGTTATCCGGACATCAGCAGGAGGGAATTCGCATGGCAGAGCAGATGTAGACCTATCAGGTGAAGTTATGTACAATTTTAACTTAAGTTAAATACGTTACAGCTGTTTAGCGCACAGAACCCGTTGCCATGGTTACTATCCATAGAGCGGCTGCAGTTTCCTCGAGGAGCGCTTGTCTCCCTCTCTGATCATCGGAGCAAAGAGCCTTTCAAAATAATAATAATAAAAACTGCGTTAATGTGCGATAAAATCATTGTCGGCGTTAATTAATAATTGCCTTAACGCGATAGTAATGCGTTAAATTGCCCAGCACTACTTAAAATAAACAATCAATGAATGCATCATAACCTTCAGTTTTTGACATGGTGATTTGGATATTTATTGTTTTTTCTTCCGTTTTGATATGTTTGCACACATAACATAGTATGGTTGTAAATGTTAATGTGGTGGTTTAAACGTTATTGAAAATGCACAATTAATGAACAATTCTCCAGGGGAGCACCTACTTTGAGATCCACTGGACTGGATTACCCTCTCCATTGTGGCCTTGGATTTAATCTCTGCCCGCCTTACTCAACTTAAGTTTTATCCTGTGCATTTTGTTTATTATTATTAAGGTTTACTGAAAAATATCTTGGCAGGAATGTTGCAATAAATGCTGGTCTTTGTACCTTAAGCACAGTGCTGTCCAACTTTCGCAGCTCAATGCTGTTGTGGCTGGGCAGGGGGTTGCCAGTGGCTGAACAAGAGATCTTGGGGCTGGAGTTCAAATTCCACTCCAAATTACTATCCACATCCAAGATCTGGGGAGCCCGGTCTAAAAAAGGAGACAGGTATGGAAGAGACATTACCAATATTTTGGATAGGGTCTAGGGAAATGATGTGGCAATAGAGAAAATAATAATTTATTGGATGAGAAAAAAAAATTATTCATGGAAATGTGCTGTGATTCTGAGAAAGAATAAAGTTTAACAATTTAATTCCACAAAGGAGGCAGAGCTAAAGAAAGAAATGGAGGAAAATAAGGATTAATATGATGTGACAACACATACCGGACTTCTCACAATTCTGTCCTCGCCACCCTGTGGGACACTGGCATCCACTAAAACGGCTGCAAACTCCTCCATTCTGGCATTTACAGCTGAAAATGCAGTCTGGCCCATACATGTCATTATGGCACACTGACAACAGAAAACAGAAAATTATATATATATATATGTTAATGTAGTAAAAAATACATGGACAAATTTAAGTGTTGTAGTGCTCACCCTCCTCACAGCGTTTCCCAAACCAACCGCTGGCGCAGGAGCAGCCGTAAGGGTCGGGTAGGCAGAAGCGAAGCCCCTTGCAGTTCAGGTCAGAGCCACATGACTCCTGGCAGTTTCGGCCAAACATTCCTTCTCTGCAGGCTTCAAGGGAAGACAAATGTGCAAATGTGTTTATTTAAATTCCTTGACTTTTGCTGTATCATGCCTCAACCTGCCATGTAAAACACCACAGAGGACAGTGTGACTAGTCTGCCATTTGTAATCTGTAGATTTTGATTTTAGTTATATTTGACTGCATTACCTTATGTGGGACAAAAATGTACAAAGACTAACAGGCACAGTCATTACCCATATGCAATGAATATGTGATTTTGACATAATGTCTGCTACATAAATTTAAAGTATACCTCACAAGTAGTCTCCTTACTTTAAGTACTAACAGCTCAGCACACAATAAAAAATAGAATAAAATTTACAATTTGGGTCAATTTAGCACTGACAAAATACTGGAATAATTTACCCTTGGGTTAAAAAACCACTGGAAACTCAAGACAATGGTTACTGACCAAACAAAAATATGGTGTGACTTTTAACTGTTTGAATCTACTCCTAGGGTTGCCAACTGTCCCGTATTAGCCAGAATGTCCCTTATATTAGGCCTAAGTGATTTGTCCCATACATGACCTCTCTTGTTCCGTTTTTACTACTACGCTGATCTAACCACTGACTGATATAACAGCAACAGCGCTGATCACGACACTTGACAATGGTCACCGACACCTGTCATCATCCAATCACAGCCTCCCCTCACGCGCCTCAGTATATGTTAAGTAACGTTAAATGCAGCTACTGTGGAAATTGACAAAATAGCTGCAAGTGAAGCCTCGTACGTGTATCACACTGTCAAACATGGACTCAGTTACAACCGCACTGACTGTCTTGTTAAGCTAAACGGTGCGTTGTTTCATGTCTCAAATGTTGTGAAGAAGATGCATTTGGTAAGAATGAAAGCTGAGATGATCACAATGAATGTTTTATGACCAAAGACTGTGCGGGATATCCTGAATGATCAATCTCTGACTGAACGTGAGCCTGTGTTTTCAAGTGGGTACCGAACATCACGAACATCACCTCCATCATCAAAAAGGCCCAGCAGAGGATGTACTTCCTGCGGCAGCTGAAGAAGTTCAGCCTGCCAGAGACAATGATGGTGCACTTCTACACTGCCATCATTGAGTCCATCCTCACCTCCTCCATCACCATCTGGTACGCTGCTGCCACCGCCAGGGACAAGGGCAGGCTGCAGCATATCATTCGCTCTGCAGAGAGGGTGATTGACTGCAATCTTCCTTCTCTCCAGGACCTGTACGCCTCCAGGACTCTGAGGCATGCAGGAAAGATTGCAGCTGACCCCTCCCGCCCTGGACACAAACTGTTTCAGACTCTCCCCTTTGGCAGGAGGCTGCGGTCCATCAGGACCAAAACCTCTCGCCACAAGAACAGTTTCTTTCCAATGGCAGTGGGCTTCCTCAACAAGGCCCCGGTCCCCACTGCCCCCCCCCCACCCGCTCCCCAAACTTGCACACACATACACTCTCCTGACCCCACACTTTACAACAACGCTCAACTGTGCTTTATGCTCATGTTGCCAAACTTTGCACTATACTTTGTATACTTTTTTTAATTTATATTACTATTTATGTGTACTGTAAGCACCAGTTCATACCAACACAAATTGCTCGTATGTGAAAATGTACCTGGCAATAAACCCGATTCTGATTCTGATTCTGGTGTTTTATTCTGTTGCCACCGACACCTCAAACAAGGGAACCATGTTTCCAGTGTGCGTGAAATATTTTTCTGTGTCTGATGGAGCGCGGTGCAAGTTACTTGACTTTTATGAAGATAGTGATGAAACTGCAAATGGTATTCATCAAGTTCTGATGAAATGCCTGGAAAAAAAAAACTGGAAATAAAACAGAACACAAGTAGCCATGTTCTTTTTAGTTTGTCATATGTACATGAAGAGGATAACCTTTTGTAACCTCCAGTGCAAGAGTCACATGGTTTTTGAATTAGAGAAAGTGTGAAGGTAACAGGTAGTATTTTAATTAAGGGTCTGTGTTAAGAAAGTGGTAAAAAAAAAATACACTTGCTAAACATCCACATGTTAATGTCATTGTGAACATATTAGCATGAAGATGTTAGCATTTAGCTCAACCCACCTCTGAGCCTACAGCCCCACAGAGCTTCTAGCATGGCTGAAGACTCTTGTTTGAACAGTCCCTGGTGCATTACATGTGGATAGCTACGTGTACAGTTTATACCCTTACTAAAACTCTTGGTAAAGATGCTCAAGTCACCAGCTATGTACAGTGTGAACATGTTTATGCGTATTATTCCATGCAATTAACATTTAACTTTCTGTTTAAGATCTGACTTTATACCCATCCTCTCTCTTACTCTCTTTCTCTTTTCTGTACTCTTACTCTCTCATTTACACACACACAATTTTGTACTATACCCTTCAAATTTTTGATTATACCTTTTCATGTGACAACACTGAAGAAATGACACTTTGCTCCAATGTAAAACAGTAAGTATACAGCTTGTAAAACAGTGTCAATTTGCTGTCCCCCCACAATAACACATCACACAGCCTAATAATAGTATCTAATCCAACAAAAGTGACTACACCCCTAAGTGAAAATATCCAAATTGGGCCCAAAGTGTCAGTATTTTGTGTGGCCACCATTATCAGCACTGCCTTAACCCGCTTGGACAGTTCACCAGAGCTTCACAGGTTGCCACAGGAGTCCTCTTCCACTCCTCCATGACGACATCATGGAGCTGGTAGATGTTAGAGACCTTGCGCTCCTCCACCTTCCATTTGAGGATGCCCCAAAGGGGCAGGTCTGCAGACATGCTTGGCCAGTCCATCACCTTTATACTTGGCTTCTTTAGCAAGGCAGTGGTTGTCTTGTGTGTTTGGGGTCGTTATCATGTTGGAATACTGCTCTGCAGCCCAGTCTCCAAAAGGGAGGGGATCGTGCTCTGCTTCAGTATGTCACAGTGCATGCTGGCATTCATGGTTCCCTAAATGAACTGTAGCTCTCCAGTGCCGGCAGCACTCATGCAGCCCCAGACCATGACAGTCCCACCACCATGCTTGACTGTAGGCAAGACACACATGTCTCTGTACTCCTCACCTGGTTGCCGCCACACACACTATTGACACCATCTGAACCAAATAAGTTTATCTTGGTCTCATCAACAGGACATGGTTCCTGTAATCCATGTCCTTAGTCTGCTTGTCTTCAGCAAACTGTTTGCGGGCTTTCTTGTGCATCATCCTTAGAAGAGGCTTCTTTCTGGGACTACAGCCATGCAGACCAATTTAATGCAGTGTGCGGTGTATGGTCTGAGCAGGCTGACCCAATCAACCTCTGCAGCAATGCTGCCAGCACTCATACATCTACTTCCCAAAGACAACCTCTGGATATGATGCTGAGCACATGCACTTAACTTCTTAGGTTGACCATGGTGAGGCCTGTTCTGAGTGGAACCTGTCCTGTTGAACCATTGTATGGTCTTGGTACCATGCTGCAGCTCAGTTTCAGGGTCTTAGCAATCTTCTTATAGCCTTGGCCATCTTTATGTAGAGCAACAATTCTTTTTTTCAGATCCTCAGAGAGTTCTTTGCCATGACCAGTGTGGGGGAGTGTGAGGGCGATAACATCAAATTTAACACACCTGCTACCCATTCACAACCTTGTAACACTAATGAGTCACATGACACCGGGGAGGGAAAATGGCTAATTGGGCCCAATTTGGACATTTTCACTTAGGGTACTCATTTTTGTTACCAGTGGTTTAGACATTAATGGCTGTGTGATGTGTTATTTTGCAGGGACAGCATATTTACACTGTTATAGAATATTGTCTCCTGAAAATATATAATCAAAAATTTACAATAATGTGAGGGTGTACTCACTTTTGTGAGATACTGTGTAATGTACAAACCTGTCTCACAACGCGTTCCCATGAATCCTGGAGGGCATATACAGTCTCCGTCGACATCATGACACATCCCGCCGTTGAGACACTCTGGACAGTCCTTGTCACAGTAAGGACCCCACTTCTTAGTGGGACAGTCTACATGGAAAATTTTTTTTCTTAGAGCAGTATACAACGTATCAAGCGTTATAGTTCATTTGAACTTGCCTGTAAAGTTGAAAAGTTTGAGTCTATTAAACACCAAATAGTTTTCTGACTGTATCTGCTTTTGGCAATCATATAAAATGCAGACATACCTGTACAGGGTAATTACTTTAAATACATATAATAATTTAGATGTGTTTTGGCTTTTTTTGCATTTGTATTGTATTTTGGACAGTTTTTCACAAGCACAAACCGCTTGTTTATGTTATAGAATTCAAAGGAAATAAAAAAAGAGATGTAATCATGTAGTAAAATGCACATAAAAACCACTGTGTCTGGTGGAGAGAAGGTGTGAACAGGGGAATCTCAAAGCAGAGCTAGAAGAGGGTGGAGATGGTGTTAATATGTCTCTTATGTTAATGTTAACATGTCTCTTGACATTACAGGAAATGAAACAAACACATGTGGTGTCTCACTCAAAGACATTTCCTCAAAATCAACTCTCTGCTGTTTTTACTTCTCATTCAAAAGGTATATTTTTTACATTTTTTGCTTTCTTTCCGAGAATTAGATGAGAAGATTGAAAACAATCTCATGTCTGATTATTAAATATAAGGCTAAAGTCAGCCTGTTAGCTTAGCATAAAGACTAGAAATGGGGAAAGCGCTAGCATTTATTATGAGTTTAACCCAAATATGTCTGCTGTATCTTCCATTTTGTCTGCTGTCATTGCAATTTCTGTATAATTTAATCTCTTTCCAAACACAGCCTTTGTTATTAATACATCTTTACTATTTGTGAGGTGAAGGTTTACATAAGTCTTGGTAACGCAGGTAGAATGTGCAGTGAGTCACTTATAGCATATCCTCTTGTATTTTGTCACATTACCCCTCAAATGCATATATAAAAAACAGTTTCTGTTTCTATGTGTGTGAATGCCAGATTCCAACATACCTCTGACAATGAGCCTCATCCAGGCGCCCTGAAGGGGACTGTCCCCCATATAGCTGGCACTGTAGATGCCTTGATTGGCAAAAGCTGCATTCTCCACTGTCAGTACAGCAGTGTGATTGATCATATCGTCCGAGTGAGTCATAGAAAAGTAGTTTCCTAAAAGAACCACATCAAAAACATTAATGGAATAGTTTCCAATGTGTCAAAAAAGTAGCCTTCTATCCTTATTTGCTCAAGATCCTTGATCACAACCTGGAAGTGTATGGTTATAATCGGTGGATGGTCTGAATTCAAATTTTCTTGCCTCCATCTTGAGTTGTGTAAACTGGCTTACCGTTGTACTTCCAGGTTACATCTCTCTTTTGATAGCTGAGTAGCTGCATGCTGAGGTGAACTGTTTCTCCTTTGTTAGCAGTCAGTGTAAGGTGAGTCGGAACAACATTTGCTGTGGGAAACACAGATACACAGTTTTTTTCCAAACATGACACAACATCCAAACTGGGCCATAGTTTAGGCTTGGTCAGAACAGGAAGTAAAAACTCTCGGAAAACTGAACCCACCTCTCCTAAAATTGTTGATCATTGTAACCATCTCAAGTGGAGGAACTTCCTGAGTGGATTCACAGTAGAAGATACCAATGTGATCGAGATCGCGGAAGTCTCTGGCTACCGCCTCCTTGTTCCTGGGCTTATGCACTTTAAAATTTGGTTTCCTGGGGAATATGAGGATTTTGTTGTCTCTCTTGATGTCCAGCTCAACCTGGGCCGGGCTGCGCTCTCCATTGATACAAGAGATGCTGAAGTGATTGACATTGGTGACCTCTGCTGTGGAGATCATTGTCAAATCGATCACAGCCCCTGTAAGACAGGCCATTGTGTTTAAAACAGTCTGACATTTTTTAACATACAGGAAAGTTATTAAGAGTCATAAGGAGCTTGACTTGATCATCAGACTACAACAGGGATTCACAAAGCTTTTGAATCAGGAAATTTAGCATCACCCTTTCTGAAGAGTAATGAGAATATATAAGTCGATCATTTCAGGAGAAGACCCATAACTGCATACCTCTTTGTGGCATAAGTTAGGCTGTTGCTTACAAATATCAAAATACATTCTACTGTAAGTTATCTGATTCACACAATAACAGAAAATATGTATACAGTTTTTTTTTCCTTTTCATTCCCGGTGTCCTGGATTTTTACAGTACACAATGAATAAATAAAATAAATATACCAATAAAATATAGTTTGTTTAGTCACATATGTCTCAGCATATCTAAAACGTGTTATTTGGCTGCTCCCTGTTCAACTCCATAGTTTTTCTAGACTAAATATATCAAAAATTTCACTTCTGGATTATATAGGCTAATGGAAAATTACATCAACTCATTGTCATACACTTGACAGTTTACACAAAATTGTGCTGTCGACCCTCTGAAACCATGAAGTACAGTACAAAATGATGGCAGAAACATAGTTTGCAGCCCACAAGTGTCTATTTCTGCCACAGGTCAGAGTATGTCTTGAACCACATAGTGTATTCATTATAAAATTGCAAGACTTACAACATCTTACACACTGACACCTGAGCTAGGGATTGAGAAACTGGCAATATCAGCCCCCCTTGTAGAGGAATTTAGTTATTTGAATAAAAGTGCCAAACCCAATAATGTCAGTTTGTTCAGCATTCCTTCTCTCTGGTATTTAAGCCCCAGATCCACAGAACAATGGCAGGAAACATGGATGAGCTCCTTTTTCCCCAAAGGGTTCATCCACACTCTCTGAAGGTATTTATGATGTTAACAACATTGTAATCATTAAAAAGGATCTAATAATCAAATAATGTAGACTTTTTCACAATACTCGAAAATAAATGCCGACTTAAATATTTTGCACATAGTTTAAAAGCTACCTAAACAGCCTCAAAATAAGTTTCTCCTTACCTGATAAATCAAGGAAGCACAATACAAATACCCACAAAGTCCTCATGATATTTATAATCCTCATTGGGAAAAAGCTGTCCTAACTAAATTAGATTTACAGGAAGAGTAGTACATCCGAAACGGTGACGCCGCGTCACGACGAGTGGTGCGCTTTTTTACGCATAACTTGGCGAATCACCCAGAACTCCAATTCAGGTGTAAAAAATTTTCGTTAACGATTACAAGCCGTCCTATATAGCGTACAGAGATGGTATCACGGTCCGTCACACTAACAAGCATAGAGCATAGAGCAAGCTTTCTCTGGGTGGGAAAGGAAGGAAGAGCGTCACCAGACAGCGGAGGACTGCTGGCGCTCCAGACCTCCCCAATCCGATTAATGTATTTATGAGTTTAAACTTTGTCACTTTTTGTTTCAACATAATGCCATCGAAATTGACTGTCTTTGCATTCATTGATTCTGTAATATCTCACACGTGTCTACTGTTTTAGCAGGGAAATTATGGTTAATCTCCTGGCAACTATAACTTTGTCTTACTATAGGATAATATTAACTATATTGTCTAAAGGTTTGTTGTAATTGTTACTTTTAATGCCCCCCTCCAGCCAGTTTTAACTGCCGTTTTTGGTTAACTTCAAATTCAACTCAGTTCAATACAATCTAGCTTTATTGGCATGAATGTAAAACAACATTATTGCCAAAGCTACAAATAAATTACAAAAGAACAATTCATTTTATACAGTTCATTAATCACTATAAAAATAATAACAATAATAAAAAAAGTTAAATAATGTTCTTTCTGAAACAGAGAATGGGGTGTAGTTAAAATTAATCACATTTTATGTGGTTACAATCATATATATATTGAACAGATGCATAGTGCATTAATGGTTAAACATGTCTTATATAAAACTAATATTTATAAATTGCACTGCTCCATTGGTTATAGTTCATTTCTGTTTACCATTTTTATAGCCTAATTGATTCTGTATATTGTCTGCTAACAGAAAGGAGTTACAAAACTCAATTTCACTTTATAACTTGTTATATTGTGACAATAAACCTAACTACCTCCCTAACTACACCTGGCTAACTAAATTGAGTTGACTTAGCTAACTAAACTAGAAAGACAAACCAACAATCAGACACACATGCACCGAGAGACATACCTAAGTTCTAAGTAAAATATATGATAAATTGGTTAGCTAGCTCACAATGATGTTAATGGTTTGACGCTCTGACTTGCGGAAGAGGATTAGGGCCACGTGTGAATTTTTTTTTTTAATTCTGAGATTAAAGTCAGAATTCTGAGTTTAAAGTCAGAATTCTGAGTTTAAAGTCAGAATTCTGAGAAAAAAGTCAGAATTCTGAGATTAAAGTCAGAATTCTGAGATTAAAGTCAGAATTCTGAGTTTAAAGTCAGAATTCTGAGAAAAAAGTCAGAATTCTGAGAAAAAAGTCAGAATTCTGACTTTAATCTCAGAATTAAAAAAAAAAATTCACACGTGGCCCTAATCCTCTTCTGCACTGACTTAAGGAGGCGTGACGGCGTAACAGGTTTTTTTTAACGAGGTATGACTAGGAGAATGACGTATGCCCAATGGAATTACTATATTCATAAATCACCACCCCATTTCAGCAACTAAGTAATTTTTGCAACTTTGAGCACAAAATTAAGCTACGTATTTGTCAAATAATATTTGGCAAACTATTTGGGTAATTAACATTGTATGGAAATTAATGAAATATGAAATATCATAGAAATGTCAAAATACACTGGAGGGGGGCTTTAAGTCATTCTGAAATTGTCACAGGAATATTTTAGTGGGTATTGTAAGAAACAGATTGCAGACTTGTTTTCGTGTCACATGTTTTCAACATGAAGCAACAGGATTTTGCAAAGTCAAAGATTTAAAATATACAATTTAATACTACATTTCATCAAAATATCTGCTGATAATTGTGTAGACTCCTCAAAGATAATCTACCCACACTTGAAATGCATCTGTGTGGCAAACATCCACACTCTGCATGCCCCCTGTGTCCTCTGAGGCTGAGAGTGCTGCCACGATTTTCTTTGTAGAGATACTGTAGAACACCAAATGCTGCAGTAGCTGGTATCATGTTTTGCCAAATGCAACAGCTTTGTTCTTTCACCTCAATGTGCTGGTTCACAATTCATGCAGCTTTTATGGTCAGCCTGCCCCTTCCCTCACTGTTATAATCAATCAGCCTCAGGAAATGATGAACAATATGCTTGTTGTGTCTATTCTGCCATTGCTGACCCAGTCTTTTAAAAGCGCTGCACTGTCTCACTTTGAAACATCCAGTTGAAAAAACTGCACATGCCTTTTCTAATTTCTCGGGCTGATTTGATGTTTTCTTTCTTGCGGCTTCAGACAATCGGCTTGATGTTGACTCAACTTGTTATTGTTTGAGATTTCCTGTTTTCGATAATAGGAGTTCGAATGGCATTCTTTAACCAGCAAGTAATATTATATTGTATTGAGGATTGTCAAAAAACACAGAATAAAATAATACTTTGCAAAGTGTGGGTACAATGATGTCCACTTTGAAAAAGCTAATAATGTCAAATCCTACCATTTAGGAAGTCAAATGCATAAATGACAAACTGAAAACCATAATCAGAGGAAGGATATGTCCTGCTGGTTAAAATAGCTAAGGTAAAAGAAAAAAAGAAATCAAATCAAAATTAGAATGGGTATTCATAATTGAACTTGATTTGTCTACAAGTGTTTCCATTTTAACTCTTGGCAAATAAAGGCTCTTGGCACCAATGTTTGGCTCAGATCAGTATTGTAGACCTGCTAATGTGACCTGTGTAGTTCAGAAGCCAGAATTTTATAATTATATATAACTTATTTCCTCTGCCCATACTTCAAAAACAATCAGAAAGAACAATGATGTTGAACTGAACAGACTACAAACTGCAGCACATACCTATAGTATAGTAAAAGGTGTACAATAAAACAATATGCAATAAACTTTATTGTCAAAATAGTTTTGCACAAATTGGGATACTTATTGCAGGTTTTGCAGAATTTTGTAAACTTTGATTAGAGTTTAGGGGAGAAAATAAGGAAGAGAGCAAAAGCATGAATTGCACAGAGAAAAGACAGAAAAGTGTTGCGTGCTGCAGACACAGCTTGGTGGAGCCTCTATAGGAAGCCAAAAGGGAAAAGACCAAAGGCTGGGTCAACACAGATGCTTCAGCCATATTTAATAGTGCACTGGACTGTGAGTGTGCATGTGTAGTGTAATAGTATGTGTGTTCATACATGCATACAATGTGAAGAAAATTATTCTAGTGGGGTGGACAAGGACTGAGGACTCTCTGTACTACTCAGACATTAGCCATTCCATATCCAAAATTCTTTGTTGCTCCATAGTAATTTTGAACTCTGTTTGTTGATAGAGAGACAGATGCTTGCTTTATGACCCTACCAGACAAAGACAGGGCTCGGTGTGTCTCCTGTCCCAGTTCTAAAAGCACAATAGTGCTTGCCCAGGCATAACAACAGTGCAACAAAAAATGCAAATCTTAAAACAATCTTTTCAAACACAGCCATCAATGTTATGGAGTATGGTGTTTGGGTTCTTTATTTTATATTAAACGAAGTTGTTATTGCTTGTCAATTACTCTGACAGTCTAAAGAGCAGTTTACATAGTTTAGTTGAAGTAAACTGGTAGAAATAAGTACCTGACTTTAATGTATGATCCATATTTAATCTTGAATCTTAAATGTTGGTGTTCTTGGTGAGACTGGGTTATATCATGCAACCAGCTATCTGTGTAAGGTATTGTCAGCACTGACCATAACTATATGGTCAGATTTTTTAATTCATCTTCATAAACTCTTTAGAAATATGAACTCGTTATTGTCTATATTTGTCTATGACATTTATTCAGTTTTTTGTGGAGCAAATACATTATCACCCTTAAGCTTATTTTTTCACAAACTCCATTGAGAAAAGTCATTGGTAAGATGAAAGATTGTGGGAAAAGACTACCTAATTGTGTCAAAAAGTAAATTTACAGCAGCACACTCCCGGGCATGTGTTAGTTGTTTTTGACATTTTGTTGTGGTTGTGGAGGAGGTGGTGATGGCGAAGCTGGGGATGTCTGGAAATGAGACCGACAATGAAGGCGGGAGGTCTCTTAGACTTTGTGAGAAAGTTTGTATTAAATTCCCATTTCCTCTCATTGTGTGGCAAGCTGGCCCGGCTCCACACGCACTGATCCTGCTGGGCCCTGGGAGCCTAAGCAAGGGTGTCACTCACACCTCTCAGGCCCCCTAAATCACCCCCCTCGATTCCTCCCCAACTGCAGTTACAAACCCCTGACCTCCATTCCAATGTAGCCGATGTTGTCTGATAAAGAAAGCCTTCCTAAGGATCATAGAGACCTATAGAGGCACAAATCATGTGTGCTTGAAAGTGTGATTACATGACTGTTTGTTTGTGTGAGAGAAAGGTATTTAGCGATAGAGTGAATGAGGTGATGAAAGCCACAAAGACAGATTTTGAGATAGAGCATGTGTGTGAGCGTTATTAGTAGAATTTAAAGATCACGTCTTAAAAAGTCAGATTTCCCCAAAAATAAAGTGCTCTCAAGCCTTGATAACTCCAGTATTATTTCAATGGAGGTTTCCACTCTTACTTGGTCTATCTGTATTTTTATAACAGATTTTCAACACCACATGATGACACATTGACAGATCAACACACTATTACCACAGCTACATTTCCCACTCAGTTAGGTGCATTGAGGCAGTCAGCCAATTATGTGCCCAGTAATGGAGTTGTGATAGTGGGTGTCATGTGACCTGCACTTCTGACAGTGGCCACTATGTAATACTACACAGCCCAGTGCTGTTCCTAAGTACCTGACCGAGACCCCAGTTTCCAGATGTTCATGGTAGACTGTGAATATTGATTAATCAACGTAAAGGAACATGGCAGAGTCACTGTTTTGGTTTAAGCTATGCAGCAAAAAATGGACACAATCTCACACACACTTTCTAGCTACGCTAGCGGCATAGCTCTAGGGAATGCAATATTGCTATGTCTATTACTTTGGTTCAGACTAAAAAAATATCTCAACAATTATAAGATGAATTGCCATGACGTTTGGTAAATATGTCCATGATGCCAAGTAGATGACTTTGGTCTTTTTTTCTTGTGCCACCGTAAGGTTGACATATATAGTTTTCAGGTAAAAACCTATTAGATAGCTTGTGATCCCTCAGGATGAATTGCAAAGCCTTGACTTTTCATCTATA